CGGTTGCAGAAAGACATCATGGGACGCACCTGCTGATCTGTTGCTCCCACTTATGGGTTTGAAGACAAGGAATTTACCTTAAGCTGCGTATTATGACGGATTCAGTTATTCATAAATAAACAAAGTACGATAGATCCATCTCGCAATTGGTTTCCTTCTGATACAATGCAAATGATCTCTAGGTTTTGTGTTTGGCATCTAAGCCACTATTGATTAAGCGGACGGGCTCGCTGGGGCTGTCTGTCTTAAGACAAGTCAATTCTGTCCTCCTGGTCCCACAACTTCACTGTATGGTTCAAACTCACTTCAGTCGTAAACCTGTTTGAGACAGCAGCATGTAGCTATTTTGGGACAAAAAGGAGCCCGGTGTCCACGACCTGCCCAGCAGCCAACCACAGACCAACGTAGCAACAAGCTGAGGAAGAGAGTCCAACCCCGAGCAGGTCGGAGATGCAGAGGACCCGTAACACCCAAACATCCACTGCTGCCGCTAGATTAGATCTTTACACTTTGCTTCTTAGATATAATCTGTCAGTCTGTCTGTGTGCTCAGTATATAGACATATTTTACATAATGGATACACACAAGGTGGATGATTAAGTATTAATTTCTTTACACCATGTTTTTTTTCAGTGAATAGATTCCTTGAACGTCAACAATTTATTCAGAAACTTTTTTTTGTTAAGTATTCTCGTAAAAAAAAGAAAGAAGAAAATCGCCTGAAGGCTAAGAGGCTTGAAATGATTCCTCACCTGCAGTTTGTCCTCTGGAACATTCAACCAGTGGTTAAATGCTTGTGACAGTTTCGTCCTCACCTGCTTTCCTGAGAAGAGTGTGGCAAAACAAAAAGTTTCAGTTTCAGTGCTTTCCTGACTCTCTTTCAATCAGTGTTTTGGGTCATCATTTATCCAATCGCCTCACACTGACATCCCCCGAACTGTTGCAGACGGCACTCTGCAAGAGACAGAATCCTCCTACAGACTATATAAAATATTTGATTCCCAGCTATAGCAGGCCTCTATCTGAAAAGGTATGCGTGAGATTTAGTCGGTCTTATCAAAGGTGGCCAGTGTTGATTTACACAGTAACATAAATTGATAAATTGCATTTGTCAGTTCAAGCCGTGTCTTCTCATCTAAATAATGACTTAAACGTCTTTGTATGTGGATAACATTATCTAATGATCCACGTGCTGAGTTCTGATCGGTCTAGGCAGTCAGTGTTTCCCCTACCATTGTAACAGCCACAAGGTTTAAAGGCACCGCAATGCTCCTTAAATGACATTATCTTTTGCAAAACTTTAGAGGAATCATATCTTGTGAGCCTGAATCACACAGTGAGACTGAAAAAGAGGAAACATTCCAACACACAGAAACCCTTATGCATTGTCCTTTTTAACCAAAAGGAAACTGGTTTAAATAGTTTGGTCAGTCACTCTGCAGACAAAAAGTGACCAGTCAAAACTGAAAGGACATGAAGCGGTGTCCAAAACAGCAGCGAGTGTGTACAAAAAATGGATTTTAAACGAGCACACAACTATGCATGGCGTGCTGATTTCTAAGCTATTAAAATTCCAAAACAGCAAATAGAATAATCTAGCTGCAAACAAACTTTTGCTATGTAAAGACATACCGGTGCTTCCCTGCGCATTCTAGCCCCAGTGGCCGCCGCTCTGCGCGGAGCTCGTACAGTAGTTACCCCCCGCCGGTCCTCCCCCAGCGAAACACTGCTGCCTCCGCAGGCATCGTTACAGCTAGTTTGGACTGTTGGCTTAACCATCGCCATGTGAATATTGAATTTAGAAGCTTATTAGCACAAAGTGAGAACGTGTGCAGCTCCCAGATTGAAAAGTTGTAATACAAGTATTATATTTCTTCGTTGTCGTGGTCACAAGGCACCAAATTTAACTGAATACATCTCAATGAAGGAATTCATCACTATCAAAGTTCAAGCCTTGAAGTACAAACACAAACACCCTTGTATACAAAATGAAAACAGCATCTCTTAATAAAAAGGTGTTAGAATCAATCAACACAATGAAAAACTCTCCCCTGGCAGGCGCTGCAGTTTCTATCCGCTGTGTTTACACCTAAGCCCTTTATCCCATTTATCTTTTAGGCATTTTTGTACGTACTCAGTAAACCTCTAGGATTCATCACCAGTATATTGCTTCCAATGACCTTTTGGCTGCATGTACGTATGCTTTTCACACAGGACTTCTGCACCACTTGGCACTGACTGACACAGAGAAAAGACTCACCCGGCAGTTGCAACAAGTACTTGTATGGTTCGAGCAGAATTCGCTCAGAGGCAGCTTCTGAGTTGCCATCCATTTCTTCTGGTTTACACAAATCTGTGACGGAGGAAAAAGGACATAAAAAGTTAAGTAAGTGGTTTGGTGCAAGTCCACAATCCCACGTGAACTGAAATCTCCCTACTAACTGACAATGTTGCAGAGGAGGAGCGCGTTGACGTGACGGGAACAATATCAGACAGGAAGGGTATCTTGGTGCAAACGACATTTGATACATAACTGCAGAGTAATACACATGAATTGTTCAGGTATTCATTTGTGCATGATGGTTTTAGCCATTTATTACGCCTTTCTTTCAAATAGGCACATAATTAAGACAGGAAATGCAAAGAAAAACGCTAAAGGAATGCGTTGTCTGTATTACATGAGGAATGCTCTGACTTAAAACAAGGAAGTAAAATGTTTTGACATAAATGATTCGTGAGGTAATGCACTGTGTTTCAGGAGCACGTGCTGATGCCTGAATTACCCGCACAATCACATTCATATGTGAATCATAGAAATGTGTGCAATAAAAGTAGAAAGGTTGTCCGCGACAGCTGGTGATCTTCAAAAGGAAAAATCCCTCTCAATCACTCATTGCCTAAGACACCAGTTCAAGATCCAGTAGATCATTTAGATATTGTTGCATCAGAGACATCGATCAGAAACTATAATGCAAAAATGATATTGCAGATATAACAAATGATGATGTGAAGCCTCACATTATAATGTAATTATAATTAGACGGCAGAGAAAGTTTATATTATATAACACAATGCTGCGATCCATTTCAACCAGACAATGTGCAATATTATGTTGAGACGATGAAGTCGAAAACTATTTACGAGTCATCATTGTTAATAAAAAAGTGACACCATAAGATGTGGTTAGCTACTACTTTAATAGCACTGTATGTAACACAGCCTTGCAACTGTTAATCGTGTGTACACTATAACTGCACCCTTTAATGGAAAAATAAATATTAAACAAACACGTTTCATATTATCTGTAAGTGCCCTACCATAATTATCTAAGTTAGGTCATCTCCCATTTAATATGTTCATAACAGGTTTAAACCAAACCGTTACTAAATTAAATTATGTGTATTTCATATACAAAATGTTAAGATACTTAAACCAAATTAAACCAAAAAGGTAAAGTTAAAAGTTAAATTTTAAGGAAGGTCACGTTAAAAAAAAGGTATATATATCGTTTTAATGTAAACTTAAAAGACTAACATTATTTATTTTGATTTACACAGTGACCCACATAGCACACATACACAGGAAGCTCCAGAGTTCTTAACTCCACCCACCTTTCCGCTGCCTGTCGGTCTGCTGCTATGCCGGTCCTGTTTTCCCGTTAGCCCGACTGCTAGTTAGCTAGCATTAGCAGGCTAACCTGAACGCGCTATAGAACCACAGATGCGCATTTATTTGTTTATTTAAAAAAAAAAACTTCCACGTCAACTGTGGACGGCTAAGGCACACTACAAGAGTACCAAATCCACACGTTCTCATTATTTTTGTATGTCCGTGTGTTACAAGCCAAGTCACCGGATGCTATAATAAGCTAACATCGCTTTTACGACGCGCTGTCAAAACACTTTTCAAAACGAGCTAACGTTGGTTGTGATGAGCTAGCTATACGTCTATATGTCGTTACGGAGCATGCGCAGAGTAGGTGGGGATGCCTCGCATATCGTGTGTTGAAGTTGTATGTATAAGTTGCCCGGTAAAAAAAACTCCGGCCTGTAATCTAACGAGAGATGCGCGCATTCGTCTCACCGGGACAGTCTGTGGTTCATATCGAGCGTACACCTATTCCAAAGCTTGGGGGGGTTGTAGTTTTTCACTCTGTATTGTGATACCAAACCAGCGGAACAACGTCATACAGCTAACCTTGTGTGTTTTTCTCATCGATCAGCCAATTATTAACGTCTAAGGCGTTTTCACCTCATTGAACTATCCAATGGGTACGCGTATCATGCTGAGAGGCGGGATTACGCAGCTGTCAATCATTCCCAGGAGGCGGGGCAAAAGGATCACAGAAAGAGCTAGGCTAGAGGAGCTACTCAACAAGGCAAACAGCAACGCTCTGCGAAACGACTTTTAACCATCCGCATCCAACACCAACTAGGGGCCGACGGAGAACGTTTAAACCTGTCGGATTCCTCACTTAAATGTGCCTATGGATTACTAATACACCTTCGTCGAAAAACCGGGGTGTTTCTCAACTTGACAGCATAGGTAAGCCTGCTTTTGTTCGGCAAAGCCATCGCTATTTTGAAAATTTCACTAGCTTGCTTCGCTCGCTGCCACCAAGCCAACCTTGGCGGAGGCTAACTTGTTAACTAATTACGTGATATGTTTCGGAGGATTCTATGGAATTAAATGAATCGAGACGACTCGGCAGCACAAAAACCCACGGCCGACATTAACCAAATAAACTTGCCGTATAACAAAGTTATGCTGCAGCCAGCCAGCCCCGTTGAGCCGACGAGCACCGCGAGAGGTTATGGCTACTGCGGGGCTCAGTAGTTTCGAGCCCGCCGGAGTGTTCGTGTTGTCGAGCGGATGACTCCTCGTCGACGTGTTTTTCGTCGAGCCTGCGCCTGTCAATGGGTGTTCCCTCGCAGGCTCAGCCGCTGGAAAATAAAGTGCTTATTACACGGAGCCCTCCGCGGTCCGCACACGCTTATAACATCGCTGCGGGATGTGATGTGTCGAGCCCAGCGACCGAAGCGGCTCAGTTGCATCGTCAGGCTTTTTTTTTCTTTTGTGCCACCGGCATCGGTAGCTTCTTTAGCTCCTCGCCCGGGTCGGACCCGACGGACTATCTCGCATGGAGGAATTCACCCGTTTGATCAGTTGTTACACGACCAGATGCGATGTGGATTAGTTACTTCCCCCCTGCTGGATGGCACCTACGTTATTCCCTCTACGTGTGAGTGTGTGAGTGAGAGCAGTATTTTGCACATTTCCGTAAACTGGCGACCCCGCCGCTGATTAACTGCACAGGCAGATTGATCGGTGGAGAGGTTTAAATGGACTGAATGCCGTAAGTTAACCACGGCATCGGGCTGAAGCACGGCCGGGGCTCAGGGGGGCGAATGTGCATTTTTATTCTGGTCTATTGGTGGCAGTCAATCATTCACTTGCAGCGGCTGAACTAGCGGGTCGTCTGGGCGGATGACATCGTTTCCCCCGCGACCCACAGCCACGAATGAGGGCTGCGACCTTGGCTTCTGTTTTGTTTGTTTTTTAACCTTTAACGATGAAATGTAATCTAGGTCCTCCCCGAGCTTGACCTTGTTGCGAACCGTCTTCGTCCACTTGTTTTTTTCCCCCCCGTTTCGTCTGAAGCGACCTCGCTCATCCTCACTCGGGTGAACACGCCAGACGAGTCGATCGAGAGAACATTTTTTGGAGGGGGGTTGTTGTTGTTGCGTGGAATGAAAAGTGAGTTTCTGCACGGACTGGATTTCTCACTTTCGGTTCCCCAACTTGGCTCCGTTAAGCACCAGCCGGCGCTGACGGGGCATGTTTTCTCCGCCGGGTCCGGTTCGGCTGCGGGCTCGCGGGCTTGTTATCGAGCGCGCGGCGCGCCGAGACAACGGGAGCGGAGCGGCCAAAATGAACGGTCTCCGGTGCAGTTTAAAAAAAAATGTATTTATGTTTTAAAAAGAAGTGAAACTGTCGCTAAAGATGGCGACCACCGCCCCCTACCCCCACGCATATTTGCACTGTTTGTTCGCTGAAGTGCGCTCCTTTTTCCCCCTTTTTTTGCCGACTGTCCGCTTTAGAAATGGCGTCATCCTCCGCCGTGGTGTTGGTGTAGTCAGTGCGGTGCGGACAGCAGGCTCGCACACGCACGCGCACGGCACGCTACCGTACTCCAAAGAACCGAGCACCGCGTGGATCTCACGGTATCCGCGACTTTATGCGAAATGACGCGGTCATCCGTGCGTGTGAGCGGAGGCCGGCGGCTTGTTCCTCGAGGGTTACTAAAACGGCATCTCCCGCCTCTTAGCGGGGAAAATAAATTTGTGTTTTTTTTGGGGGGGGGGGGGGGGGGGGTCACGGCGTCAACGTAATGCATTTGCGGAATTGATCTTTAAATCTTCTCGAATGAGTGCGAATGAAGCCCATGGCCCTTGAATGGAGATTGTTGAGCGTCTGCCGCCCGGATTATTGTTATTTGGCTCATGGCATCCAGCAGTAGCACAATAAGTGATGTCATCATAACATCAGGATGTAGTTGGCACTCTCATTCATGTGCCAATAGCTTTTTTTAACCTCTTTCAACCTGTTTCCTCTCCAGATTCGTTCCACTGGTCACCTAGAGGACTCATCGAGAGATGAAGGTGGGTTCGTTACATTTACTTACACCTGTTTGATGCCACTACTGCCTTCTTGGCTCTAATTCCATTCAACTCCTGTGTAAACAAGCTTTAACCAGGAATCTCCAACATGAAAGGGCCGATGTAATCTATCCATATTTTATATGCTTGGCGTCATCCTTTAGTTCTGAGGCTCGTCTGAACTTTTGCTAAATGTCAATCTTGGACACGGGGAGTGTGTTGGACATCGGCCAAAGCAAAGTGTTTATTTCACAGGCCAGACAGTTGAGTTTCTAGTGTCTCTAGTTTGATTTGCAAACAAACATTTATACTTGCGTAATGTGGATGTTGCACTTTTTCATCACATGGTGAGATGTGGCCTGGACACGTAGTGATATAATAAACTACGTTCATAGAGAGACGCTTACCTCTGACACCAACGAAGGAGCCGTGACATCTTCAAATCATCAAAAGCTCTGGCATTGTTTCCCCTCAGCACAATTTCATTCGCTAAAGTCACAGCTCTAATTGATCGGCTGCGTCTTTGCCCGTTGTTATGCCTGCACGCTCACTTGTTATCACGTATCAGCGAAGCGTAGTCACAACACGCATGGGCGTTTCACCTCCTCATTACATTTATGAAAGCCAGAAGCTTTGACGGGAGTCTGCATACAGTGTAGAGGGATTACGGGGAAAGAATAAAGGCAATACGAGATGTGGGCACTTTGTTATTGGAGAGCTGGCGGTGGGCAAATTAAAAGCTGGGTCTAGTAATGATTTGTAGTCTGTCCCTTTTGGCCGTAATCATGTTGTGCTTATTGTGCTTAATCACTGTATCACCCACCCACTGCTAGCAGTCTACCAAAGTATCCAATTAGAATGCAACCAAGAGCACCATTGGATGTAAGAAAGAACAGTAGCGTCCGCTTTTGTGTTCATTATTCACTCAATTTGGTGAGCGGGGGAGAGGCGAGGAAGCTTTCGTCTCTGCTTCCGAGTCCTTTCTGTTGCCTGCATTCACACTCGCCCGACTAGACGGGAGCTGACTCCAACTGCATGATGATGTGTGGTTATGCAATACATTTGTTTGTGCCACGAGAAGACAATGGAGTTCTGATTGTCGGGATGAGAAATGCATTCCGCTGAACAGAGACACGGTTTAGAAACCAATGGTCGCTCCGCAGGCCGGCCGCGCTGCTCCATTGCTCACGTGAACACGGGGAAGTTCATTAAACTGATGCCGTCGGGGCCCATGGCCATTCTGCAGTTGTTGTCCCCCCCCCAGCTGGATAGCAGTGGTCTGTTATTAGATGATTATTATGTTTACAACGCGCTTAGTTTCATAACCGCTGACAGGAGGGTGTTTTCGCGCTGACATTTGGGGTTTAATGTTGTAGCATTTTGCTGTTTTCATCTATTGGTGCTGGAGGACTGCTCACTTGCTTCATTGCTCTGCATATTAGGAGCATCTGCTCAGTGCTTTAACTGTAAATTGTCTGGGACTACTTTTTATTATGTATGTCCACAGCCTTCGTCCGTCAACTACACACACACACACATACATACATATGTACATACATACATACACGGTGTGCTGGATAAAACACTGACATAAACATAGATGTCTTTCTATAACATAATGGTGTAGTCCACGTGCTTGTGACTGCGTGCCAAGACTTCTAAAACCTCACCGTGACAACCAAAACAGGGACTTATCACACACTGTCTGTGTGACTGCCGGCTGCATTGTTAGGTCAAAGGATATATGATCTCTCTACAAGAAGACCTGGGAGGTTTAATGACGGATGCTCTTCGGTTGCATATTGCAAGTGGAATGCAGGCTATTTAGGGACTAAATGTTATGAAATATCCGCCCCATCTGCTTGAGATCTTTCTGCTTGCTGTAATTGACAGTCCATGGTTGCTCAATTGAGTCCACACAGAAACATGTTTTATTATTAAATCCTAAAATGGCGTTGCTGTAGGATTGAAATGTCATTCCCGTATTTAGATAACAGCATGTGGAGATATAGTATCTACTGAAGCATTGGGAAAGAGACCCTTTGCAGGACGGGTGCAGGTGTCTGCTGTAGTTGGAGGTGTGAACATTTTTTTGTGGAAGCTGCATTTAACGTTTTAAACACTAACACACTGGTCACCTCGAGGACTCGTCAAGGCGCAGCAAACAAGTGCTTGCTTAGAACACACTTGCTCCCCATCTGTGTGTGTGTGTGTGTGTTGTTGTCAGAGCTTTTCCTTGCTGTGTTGACTTGCAGCCAAAGCACACGCTTGAGTGCACGTTAGAGCATGAGAGTACGGCCTGATTGACGAGCGTGAGATGAGGAAAGTGTACAGTGTAAGATGGATCATTGGTACGGCTGTAAATTACTTGACTGCTACAAGTCATTCAGCAGGGATACGCAGACGTTGAGACTTTCCATTGGTAGTTGTCCGTACTCCATGCTTGGTGAGTGGTCAGGGGAATTAGGTGCTTTGAGATTATACGCATCAGGGATTGGTTTTGTGAAAATGTGAAGTGGTCTACTTGGTTTGAATTGTTTGATACCGGAGGAGTGAATTTACCGGACAGGCCTGCATTTTGGGGAATAACTGCGCAAACAAAAAGTATAAAGACCTTTCTTTTCCCTTTTTAATTCAGTTTAAAGCCGCCATGGCATCGCCAAGGCAACTCCTCCCAAAAGCACCACTCGCTGGAACTGTGGTGACTTTGGTTTGGGACAAAGATGTGATTCACAGCAGGATTATTGCACGTGTGCGCCAGGCTGGGTTGGAGCTTAATTCTCTTCTGGTGCCTCTTGCTTGTTCTCTGTGTTTGGCCTACAAGGCTTTCTGCTGGAGCACAATAAAACGGGTCAGAAACTAATGTTTATGATATTTTCAGACATGCTGATTAGTGCTTAGTCTTATAGTTACGAAGTTTGGCACACGGCTCGTACGCCTGGTTTGATCGAGGCATGATGGGACTCTCTGTTTACACCACCCTCGCTCGGTGCAGCTGAATATTAACCAGTTCATGTTCCGAACATCTTTTGCTGTTGTGTAACTTGAGACATTGGTGACACATCCATCCAAACAACAACGACACATGTGATTTTAGCTTTGAAGAGGGCACAACATTGGATTAAATCCTGGGCAATGGTGGTTACTTAAAAACGCAGATTTCCTTTAAAACGTTTAATGCAGTGCTGATGGGACGTAGTCAGAATAATCAGTAAGTTGTTGATGGTTTGCCATCAAAGTAAAAGAATGGAACTTTGTTGGTAAGTTGAACTGAAGTATGTTGTATGAGTGAATGTAAAGGCAGATTTAACACGTCAGATGTCGATTTTCAGGGGAAAAAAGTAAGCCGAGCCATCATTAATTGTCTGACAAAATACGCTCCTCAAAACCCAAAAAACATTACAACATATTGCCTGACTGTACAGATTTTCAATTAAAGGTGAACTTTGACCCTGAATATGAAACGTGGTCTGTAATGTGACCACCACCACTTTGCCTTCAGCGAGACGGGGAATATGCAAGCGGGCCTTAATGGATGAGCAGTGGGTCTCTGCATGCTTCCATGTGACGGCCTCTCGAGGGGTCGAGGAAAGGACCTGGGATTCCTTGAGCCCTTCGGGGATGGCTGATACGAGCACCATAGTGAATTACACGTGTATCACCCCACACATCAGTATTCTTTTGTCTTCTTTTTTTAACACACTGAGTCTTTTTACTCAGCTGCAGAATAAAATTGCTACAGTCCCTCAAGCTGTCGAAGAAATGCCCTATAAGCAGCGGGGGGGGGGCTTATTTATCGACTGGCGCTCCGGGGAGTTGGCTGTTACATTTTTCATGACCTGAGAGTCTTCATTGAGCCGAAACGGATCTCATTCCGCTGTTGTTTTCACTGTGTCTCCCCGGTATGTTTTTTTTTTTCTTCTTCTTCTTGAATGATTTCAAAAGCTGTGACTTGGTGTCGCAGCTTTCTGTCGCGCTCCCTGACCAGAGAGACTTGAATAGGGATCACTGCCTGGGATATATGGTAGATTGTCCCTTCTGTGGGTGGGGGGGCGGAGGCGTTTAAAGCATAAATAAAAAGTTTTTACCTAATGTGGTGTCTGTGAATAGTCCCAGGCTGGAGCTCCTTGCTTTGTCTTCCCCTGCCAGCCGCAGGTGCGTTTCCTCCCCTCATGCCAAGTCCCATTCGTGTGTGTTTTTAATTGAGTACACGTGCCTGGAGAGTGTTTTCCACATCGGTGGCCCTGTGTGACCAGCCGGAGAGCCAGGTTTGATCGCACGGCTGCTATTGCTGTTACGCACCTTTTGACACGCCGATGAAACGCTCGTGAGACGAATGCGGCTCTGCTCCTCCTGGTGTGACAGAATCTTGGGAGAGAGGCGCTCCCGCGAGGGAGAACGGACGCTACAGCCCACAAAGGCCCAGGACTTCCGCCTCTCCGGGCTTAGTCATCTCGATGGGTTGGTCTTCTGAGCTTGTCTGTCGTGCAGGCAGGCAGGGAGGGAGGGGGTGGAGGGGGGGGGTTGAGCTCATCCATGAATAGTTTTGAGTTTAATGCAAAGAGGTGGGGCATTAGAAGCGGTAATAACAAACCATTTGTTTCGGTTGGGTTGGCATGTGAGCGTGACGAGTGTAAATCGGGCATCAAGTGTTGTGTCATCGCCCCCGCCTTGTTAAACTGGGGCGGTTCGGCAGCCACAGCTGTCCAGATGACCCGAGCTGCCCTCCATGAGTCGGTTGCATCACGATTCTACCTCTGAGAGGAGGAAAGGGCACCGGCTCAGAGCAGGGGGGGCAACAGAGGAGACGTACAGGAGGAGCGTTGCTCTGAAGGAGTAGCAGTTGGGCCGACAGCCGAGGCGGCGAGCTGGTGGAAGTGGCCTCGGCGTCGTGTAGACGGGAGGGGGGGGTGCGCTGCCTCGGGGGGCAGCTGGTGCTGAGGCCAGATTGCACCAGAGACTAACGAGGTGTTTGTCTGAGAGGTGGGCGGGCTGAAAGGCACTGGACTCCGCCCCAGAATCCCATCTGTCAGAATCCCTGAGACACCGGAGAAGAGGCCGAGCCCTGTGCTGGTGCGCTGTGCACCCCACCGCAGAGGATGCAACTTGCCCTCGTTTCTTGTCTATTTTTGTTTGTTGTTTTTCTGAACAGGTGTTTGATTTATTTAAACTGTTCCTTGCAGTGTCGCCTGTCAACAACGTTTTTTTTTCTATTACGCTTTTACATCACACATGATAAACACATTGAATCTTTTACCCTCGGTGTACATTGGCCCCCATCAGAAAGACATTTGTGTAGATGTTTAGAAAATTAATAGTTGAAACTACAGGGGTGGGGACGGTACACGGCCTTCCTTCGTTTGGCACAGGCTACGGCAGGGGTGTCAAACATAAGGCCCGCGGGTCCAGTGTGGGGCGCCGGATGAAAAATGACAAAGATATTAATTGCATTTCTATAAAAGCAGCTGCTATTCCTAAAAATCCCACTGGGGGTCGCACTCTGTGAGTGAGCTCATGCGTCAGACCAGGATCGACGACAGCGTTCCTCCAGGCAGCAGCGGCCGGTTGAAAATGACCGGTCGACCGGACCATCCACGTCCGCCCCCTCCCCAACCATCGGCCATGATTTCGCTGGTCCGGCCCGCGTGACATCAAAGTGGACAGTGTGTGGCCCCCTACCTAAAATGGCTTTGACACACCAGGGCTAAGCCGCTCGCATGCCGCAACTGATGGATAACTTTACGGGAAGAACACGCCCCCCATTGTTTCTGTCCCACGCGTGCCAGTAGTAGAGATGAAAAGGGCGTAGCAGGCCGAGGACGGCATTCCAAACTGAACATCCGATACCCTCGGTTTGGGTCCAATGGACGTACCGCCAGAGCCCAAAGTGAAGCGCTACCTTCCATTAATGCTAAAGAAATGTTCACAGAGACCGACGAGGCTGTTACACTTGGCAAACCTACACGCTTACACGTAGTGTACAGCGCACTGGATCTCTTCCTTGTTACCGGCTGCCAAAGGGGTTGTTAGCTTGGCTGAGGTTGGGTTTAAAAAAATATACATACATCAAAAGTGGGTCATGCTGAGGCAGGCCCCACAGTGCCAAACTCCGTTATCAAAGAGCCAGGGATTCCAAATCAGATTGAATTAGATTGTATTTTCTTGTGTTGGTTGTTTGGGAAAGACGGTAATGTTGGATATGGCCTCCGGGAGCAAATAAATTGAAGAGGGATATGAAACCCTTGTATGTGCTTTTTGATAATTGGACATTGGATTCAGTTTCACCTGTTCCTCTTATCAGCGGGGCCACACGATGCTCACGCTTCTTCTGCAGTGGATTTCACTGCACATCACGAGCAGTCCAGGAACGACACTGATCATTGCTGATCATCTTCGTTAGATTGTGATCTTAGTCATTTAACATTTAATATCTCCCTGTTTCCAATTTAATATTGATTGTTTTCTACATGAAACCGCTTTGCACCTACTGCTAAAGTAGACAAAGGTTCCTGCATCGTTGTTGTAGTTTCAGGTTGGGATGGCAACAATGAACAGCGCTTGTGTACATAAGATTTGTAAATTTTGTGGGTATGAAAAAACTTACAAGTAATTAGTCTGGATAAATTGGTACTAAATGAACAGCCATCTCTCTGTAGTAGTATTAGTATTAGTTTTTTAGCTAATTTGATGTTAAACTGTCATGCCCAGTGGAGTGAACCAGCTACATAAGTACATTTTATTCATCCATTCAAAGATGCGTTTTTGTATTTACGCAGAGCGACAAGGCGATCTAAAGCGATTGGCCAATGACGACTTGCTTTACGCGTGCAAGAATGATCCAGGTCACTTCCACACAGTGAGGCTGAAAAAGTTGGACTGATGCATCCATACATACACAAAAGGGTAGTTTTGTAGTTTTACACCCGAGAGGAGGAGCCGACCTTTTCCTCAAGTAACGCATTCAAACATTGGCCAAGCCAAGGGGCGAAAAATGACACCTTCCATTTGAGAGATGATGAACTGTACCTCTGTTAAGTTAAAGCATTTTAAGGAGAGCCTCAGGTAAACACCCGCCGTAAATCCATCTCCACACTGAATGGACCTCAAACAGCTTTAGCCCTCGTCCACTCTGAAAGTCCAGTGTTTCCCCTACCATTATGTCGGGGGGGGGTCACCTAAGGCAAACACTGAAGTCTGTTTTCTCCTTACACCCAACACTCTTACGGTCTGTTCTTAAGTTGATAAGTTGACATAATGGTTCTATTTGTTTCGAATAACTTAACAACTCGTAGTCATCAAAGCAGTAGTGAAGTGGCCGTTTTGTTTGCTCCCCTGGAGGCTTGTTTTCCCGTAGCCAGAGCAGATGGTGTGTGTTTTTGCATAGCTGGCCCTGCACCATGTGAAACTTGAATGCGTGTCCTCCCGCCTCAGCTGTAAGAAAACCGTTCACTTTAAATAAAAGAATAACTAAAGAAAGCCTTTTAAATTCATTGATTTCCTATTTTTGTTTCCTCAGACTCTGGAGGAGCCCCCCTACTTGACGGTAGGGACGGATGTCAGTGCCAAGTACCGAGGGGCTTTCTGTGAGGCCAAGATTAAGACCGCCAAGAGACTAGTCAAGGCCAAGGTAAGTCGCATTTCACAGTTCCTCTGATCCAAAGTGTGTGTGAGGTAAATTGCAACGATCGACACCACTCCGCTCTGCATAAGTTCCTGTGAAAGAGGCTGTTCTCGTCTCCAGCTGTGTAACTTGCATGCTGGAACGCTCACCACCTGTTTAGCGTTGTTAATAATGCTCATGCAGCTGAAGCACTGATCACGGGGCCCCAGATGTGACAGATGTACCACCAGGTACCCGCCACATCGCCACGTGTCGCTCCCGCTCGCTGCTTTCCCACTTCTGTTCTGCGGGGGACGGTGTGGTCGCCTTGCTGGTGAAGCCACTGCATTGATGCGATCTCATTTCCCAGTGGGGCAAAAGCATCTGGATAGTACAACAGAGACGGACCGCTAGACTCTCCTTCTGCAAGAGCGTGTGGGAGGAGCAAAGATTAGATACCGGCCTCTTCACTATGTCAATGCACTGTCGTCGTCGTCGTCCGCCCCCGCAGAGACAAAAGAGCACCGATGTGATGCCATTCTCGTCCCCCCCCCCCTCCCTCCCCCTGCTGAGATTACCTAATGGCGTGCCTTTTAGGCTTGTGGACGGAGACAAACAACATGCCAAAGTCGACCGCGCGATTCCTTTTGAGTTGAGAGATTCAAGGGAAGCTAATGGGGTAGTTTGGTCTCATACATTAATTACCATGGTAATTGGCTGAGTGTGGGTTTGTTGTTGGTTACATGCGGTAGGAATGTGAGGCTGGGCTACACAAGCGGAGAACACAGCAATTATTCGCCGGTTGTTGTGAATCTGAATATCCCCCATCTAATGGATTCCTCTTTAGCTCTTTGGTTCATTAATCTCCGTCTGCTTGTTTAACAAAGTCGATGGTGGCAGCGCGTGGCACCGGGGCTCTCTGTGATATTTAAAGCCCGGTAAAAGATGTCTATGGCATAGTTATTGATGATGATCCCAGCTAGAATAAGCAGCGAGTCAGCATCACTCTCCGTGACATGTTTTTTTTTTTTTTTTTCTTATCCCTTTTTTAGTTGCGTTATAATTACTATAGCACAAAGCTCTCAGTGGAGGCCGCATGAATGCAAACAAAGCAAGCACAGGGGTGAGGAGAGTTTACAACTGGTGTCCCTCGAACAAATGATTATGACTAATCATCAGCAGAAAGGAGGGACGATGTGTCAGTGCAGTAAGTGAAACTACTGGAGTTTGTTCTTAGCTGGGGACACTTCAGCATCCGGGGCTCAAACCGCCAACCTTGCAGTTCCCGGTGCACCCGCTCTACCCCTGCGCCACCGCCACTGTTACTCTTTGCATGTCTCATATTGGGAGAATTTCCACTTACCGCCGTTTGAATGGAGTACAATGAAGCTGCCTGCAGCTGAGCGGACCTGTAATGTGATGGACTGTGAACTCCTGACAAACCTTTTCACTTCGCATCATGAGCCCGCTGGAGGCTCTAACGTTAGAAGTCTGGTTTCACATCTTATTCCGATATTCGATGCCGAGCCGAAGCGGTCGTGCAGCCACAGTTGCCAGATGATCCGCGCTTCCGACACGCTCCCGGTTCGGAGTTTGTCCGTCGGGTGTTGTTGACGCTCATCTGTTTGAGGGTTTGGACAGCGAGTGTTATCCTCCCTTTTGTCTGTGAAGAGCGGAGCCCCCCATCCCCCCACCCACCCCACCCCCCTAAAAAAAGAAGGGTAGTCCTCTGTTCCGCAGTTATAATATCCATAACTGCTGAACTGCTTTTTATTCCTTCCTCTGCCGTCTGATCTTTATGAGATGACATTTTAACGGCATCTTACAGTACTCGTTTCCTTTCCTTCCTGTCTGCGTGCCGCCTTCATAGCGGGGCTTTGATTGCCGATTGTACTGTTGTTGTGTTGAAAAGCGACTTGAGAGAGCGCGCCGTCTGAACTCTTTACCTGCAGGCTGGTTTTCTGAGATGGGGTGCTTCTCATCTTTTTCTGCTCATGGCGGCTCCTTCTAAACTAAATGAGTCGATAAAGGAAAAGCCAGTTTTTCATTAAAACGATGTTACTATTTTACTCGCATGTGCTCTCAGAAATTACTTAAATGTCCCTCGGGCAACCGAGAGGGAAGCACATGCGCCCGTCGATTCATATTTCAGGCAGGGAGGAGCATCTTTGATGCTAAAAAGACGCAGCGCCTTTGGCTGCTTCGGCTATTCACCCACATGCGCCTCGTCCGCCTGCCTCGTGGCCTTTAGCGTTACTAAGTGTTACCGGGTCGCCGTGCAGATGCACGATTAGCACGGCGTGATCAGATTAGGATCTACCGCGGCTCACTTAGGGGAGGCGACCCTGGCAGAGGGGGAGGGTCGCTTAGTTTTGCCCTAACAGGAATCTACTGCAGTTGGCTCCAACAGATGCGGGGCTGTTGCCGGTTGGAGGGGGGTCAGGGGAGAAGGGCGGGGGGCAGTCACTTAACGGTGCCTGAAAGGAGACATCGCATTAAATATTCACGCTCTGCTGCTGGCCTAATGACACCAGGAAGTCTCCACCAGTGTGTTATCTCAAAGCGTGTAGGAGTCCATCGTTGAAGTCATTAGCAGCCTCTGTGAGCTGGAGGATGATAAAGCTTGTTTTAGGAATTGTTTGTTTACACGCGGTGCTGATTCTCTGTCCTCCTCTCCCCCGTCCGCAGGTGACCTTTAAACCGGATCTGTCCACAGCTGAGGTTCACGATGAAAACATCAAAGGAGCTCTGAAGGTAGGGCAGCATGTGGTGGGGGAGGCTGATGTGCTCCCACAGTCAGCTGGAGCATTTCCATAACACACATGTGGTTGTTAATTGCCACCGATTACTTGTTTTTGCCTCGAACTACGAGAGTAGAAAGGCGCTCTGACTTCAATCTGCTACTACTTCAATGATTCTTGTATCAGCGATATTCTGGTCTCGTTACTTAAAAACCCATTTCACTAATCAATAGTAGCCCATTAGGATGCCACATAACAGTGTCCATCCCACAGGTGGGTGCTGTGGTGGAGGTGAAGAATCAGGATGGAGTTTACCAGGAGGCCACAATCAATAAGCTGACCGATGCTAGTATATATACTGTTGGTAAGTCAATGTTTCTCTCCCGCAGTGAGCTCTCCCTGCAGGAATTTTACAATTACACAGCATGTTTGTGTAACCAAAAAGTTTTCAGAGTTTAGTTTCTCCTTTGCCAGAGTATTTACACAGAAGCAAGAACCCTGATTCAATCAATTCATAACAACTTAGTGATTTGCTACAGTGCTGCAGGAATACTAAAAAGTTGCTATTCCTTATATTCAATGTGTGTGTGTGTATATATATATATATATTTTATTGTCGTTCCAAGTGTATTTGATAGAGCGAGGACTTGATATTGGTTAATAAATAAATAAATGAAATCAACAAATCCTCAGACACTTCCTTTGCATCTCTTTTATTTTCCCATGTGTGCGTTCACTCTGTCTGACAGCGAGTCCTTGAAGCTGTGATAACACACGGAGCTGCCTGCTGGAGGATCCTTCTAAGCCTTACAAACACAAGCATAATTGCTTTTTAACATGTCATAAATCCGGCAGTCATTTAGTAACCGAGGACACCGTTTTAGGGTGTGTTTCTGTGGGCTCCCGTCCCTCCTGCAGCCGCCTAACAGTCTCTCGTCCCCGCAGTGTTCGACGACGGCGATGAGAAGACCCTGAGGCGCTCCTCTCTCTGCCTGAAGGGAGCGCGTCACTTTGCAGAGAGCGAGGCGAGTATTGGGCCGTCCCTCCGCAACGCATGAAATCTCACAGAGAGATTTTGCATCTGATAATGTGGCGCTGACACCCTTTGCTGTTGCCTGCCTCCCCCTCCGCAGACGCTCGACAGACTCCCCCTCACCAACCCCGAGCACTTCGGCACGCCCGTCATCGGCAAGAAGGGCAACCGCGGCAGGCGATCGAATCCGATGTGAGTATCGCCCTCCCGTCTGTGTGCGCATCCCGCCTGGCTCGCATCACACTTCATATGTGTATATATGAGGTCTGCAATGCTGCCGGCGAGGGATCTTCCTTTCTACCAATCCACTCATCTGTAACACGCTCCCCTTAATCCAAGTGTGCTGACGGCAGATTTACTCTCATCCACGTCCGCTCATGAACAGCGTCCGTGACCCGAAACTGGAGAGCCAGTTTTTTTTTTTTTTTTTGTCGTCTTCTCTGACTAAAATGTTCCACTGGGTGTTTTGTGTTGGGAGACGGGGAATAGGAGCAGCTTCCGGATTTTTTGGCGCAGCATTTAATTACGGCTCCTTTCTGTTGTAAAGAGGAAATTCTGCTACGTTATTTTGTTGTCTTACACCCCGTGCTCATGGCATTTCCTACATGAGTTGCCTGAATCGTTCGTCATCGAGTGGCTGAAGCGCTTTGTTTATGACTCTGAGTCACAGCTTAGTTGCTGTCGTAGTGGTAGTAACAGACTGGCTGATTTACTGCTCTTGAATTGTGCCAAACTGAACACAGAGTTGTTGCCTAGTGACGTATAACAAGAGGACGTAGGGTCCGTTTGCTCAGAAGCTGTCGGAATCAGCCGGCTCGTCCGCACACTGATCCTAACGAGGTCCTCGGTGAAGCTGCCGCTCTGTTTTGTCCCGCTGGCACAACTGGAAAGTCTTTGTGGCGGCGTGGACTGATAGGCGGAGACTTTGGGTGTTAAACGGAGAGATGATTGGTCAGCAGGAACCCTCCGCCTGTGTTGACAGAAAGCCAATGTTTTCTTCCTAACTTAATTTAAAATGAAATGCCAGTGTTTTCTTGCCAGAAAGATGAACATATTTCCATTTCAAACAGCAGTGGCACGTTTTTATGAAGAAATTGACCGCATGGCATTTTTGTATTCAAATGTCAACCAGATGTGGTGAATGTTTTCACTTGCTCGCTGCACCTACCTTTTTAAAAACTGCCCTTATCTCCCTCAGTCAAGAAGAAGAATTGTCTTCATCCTCCAGCGAAGAGGAGGAGAGCGACCAGCGGCAGAACGAGGATCTGTTCGGCAAAGTGGTCTGTGTGGAGGGGGTCGCCTGCGCGGACAAAAAGAAGACCACGTGGTATCCTGCTTTGGTGAGCTCACCGTCTCCTTTCCTTCACTGCCCTCCGCTCCATCGCTGAGGAGAAACAGGAACCAGTGCACTCACAGCATTGTGCCAGTTCAACGCCCCGGGTTATGTAACCTCAGCTGGATTATGTCATTGCGTAACACCGGTCATCTAATATTGGAAATGTGCACGGCGCTGTGATTTAAATATCGGATTCCTTTAAAATAGGCCGCCGCTTTGCAGTAGCCGCCTGCCCTCCGTAGTTTGAAGAAGTTCAGAAAGCAAAACGGGCTCAGCTCCTGTTTTTAAAAGTGAAAACATAAGTCCAGGGATGTTCTTCCCGACGTGTGCGACGATGCAGCATAAAACACACCTTTGATGTTTTCCGTCCTTTCTAGTCCATTCGCTTCCGCCCACGCACACCTCTCAGCCAGTGGTAGCACACAATGAAATGGTGACAGGCCCTGTTTGTGTTTGTAAGTGTTGCAAGTAGAACTGTGTGTGTGTGCTTGTTCGTTGGGGGGTGATCTGTCTGTCCCTTTTTAAAAAAAAAAAGGATGTGTATTCTGCGGGGCCCCGCCTCCACGGTTTGATGTTTTTGCTGTTCTTGTTCTTGACCGAGCTCAATGCTGCCTCCCTGTGACCGCCATCGCAAGTGCAGAAAGTGGCAGCACGCGGCTGTCCACACCGGCAGCATATGGCCGAGGTGGGAGGTGGGGGGGGGGTGTTTCGTGCCACGGATCCTACATGGCTGTAACAAACAATGAGCTCCCAGGAGGCACGGTGCAATGAAAGTCAAAGCTGCAGCACATGTGCCACAAGGAAAGGGAGGGCGGGCGGCGTGCGTTTGTGTGTGCACGTGCTGTGCATGTACAGACGGAGTCCTGATGGAAACTATGTCTCCATAATAGCAGTGCTGCCTCCCGGGGGTTAAGACCGTGGCACCAAATCGACTCCCACTGTCCCAACGGTGGCGTTTACTGGTCCCCACACGTCTCCTCCCCCGCTACACATCGCTCCTCGTCCCACTGGCCGGTTTGTCTTTTGCAGACGGCATTTTCTGTAATCCGTCAGCGTGGCCTTTGCCTGGAATTAATTTAGTCATTAACTCTTCTCACACACATAAAACCACCTCATCTGACCTGTTGACCGTCTCTTGTTTCTGTGCACCAAGGTCATCTCCCCGGACTGCCACGACGACGTGACGGTGAAGAAGGACAACATCTTCGTCCGCTCCTTCAAGGATGGGAAATTGTGAGTCATCAGTAATGAAAACTGTGTGTGAATTAGACCTGCAGCGATGGTTATCAGACCTTTTGAAACTATCCTTTAAAACATCCATTATGTTTAGATGTAATTATTTTAATCGCAAATGGCAATGCACGAGATTTATTAATGTTAAGTGCCTTAGCATTGCTTACTGATTAATGTAAGGGGTGTTCAGATTCATGTTAAACTAAGCATACTTTGGGAGAGAAAACAAGTAAACGATGGTGTTTTCACTTGATAAATGATCGAAATCCCTCTTGACTCATTGAATGTAAGTCATTTAAACAACTGATTAAGTAGTACTACTCTAGCACATCCTCGTCAGGGGATGAAAGGGCTTTCTCCTTAACCTTTTTGCTTCATTTATTGCACTGCGCTTTGAATCGTTGTCTTCTCCCATGGTTTGAGGGAGCTCTGCCAGATGACATTTCTTCCTCTTCGCCAATCCATTGTGCATATTTAGATGGCACATTTTATTGTGAGGCTTTAGAAGAAATACAGCCTCCCAACCAAAAGAGTTGAGATACGGCGTGCCGTGGCCGGCCGTGTGGTTTTATTTGTCCTAAGGCCGTGATTGACTGCTGAGCTTAGGTGGCGTGGCTCCCCTGCGGCCGGCCCTCAGCGGGGAACCGCACTGCCAGATTGTTTCATCTGCTGCAACGACGAGGTCCTGTCGGGAGTCGGCACTCGGCTGGTGGTTTAAAACCGCGGCCCGTCCGCACGTGGGTAGAAACGCGGCCCACAATGGACATAAATGGATCTGATCTTTGCTCGCTGCTCAAATTTCGACCCTTCTGTCTGTCCTGAGCCTGCGTTCCCTAATGGATTTCCCCGGTTAACTCATTGGCGCGACCCTTAATCTGCCGCTGAAGAGACATTTGCGGCGGACGTAGTGTGGAGAGTGACTCTTATTGTGTGTGTATATATATATATATATATATATATATATATATATATGGCCTTATATATATCGGCTAATAGTCAGTTGGAGGGTAGAGCTTAAGATGAGTTAAGAGACAACACGTGTGAGGAGACCTGGAAGTCCGGTACTCGGGGAGTATTTCTCATCTGTGATGGCTTTTTGTTGCAAATTACATTTAAAAAAACTCAACCGGCACAGTGGATCCGCAATACAGGCAACACATCGTAATGTAAGAGGTCGGAAAATCTATATCATCCGTAACGAGATTTTCAGGGTGTGCTTGCATCCAATTCTTTTCAAGAGCTTTTCGTTACTGTTGATCAGACGAATCGCGTCTGGTTATATGAGAACAAAGCTGTTGTTGTTGTTTTTTTTACAGAGTTGACCACGTGAAATCATTGCTGAGGTCCTGCAAAAGGCTGAAATTAGAAAAGATGTCTCGTGCATCAACACCACATTCAGACGGTTCCCTCTTTTCAATAATGCTGCAGTTGTTTCAGTGCTGCACCAGTTCCCTTTTTTCATTCTTCCTCAACTACACACTACTTGTCACGGTTTGTGTCGGGCCCCTTTGCATCTATTATTGGTGAGTTATTGTAATTTGCTGCTCCGTGTGTGACTTATTTTGTGAAAAAGGGTCACATCCATAAGTCATGTGTCCTTTCCGCAGAGCGCCGGGGTCAGCGTGTTCACACCCTCTACAGGATTTGGTATTGTCGTCACTGGTTCAACATGCCTTTCATAAACAATGGCTCTCAAAAATATTTTTGGGGAAGCGAGGTCACAAGTTTTCATTAAGTGGTTATTCTTATCAGTTCAGGTTACCATAGCAACAATGGAAACTGTGGCCTATTTCTCTTTTCGTTTTCCTCATCTCGTCTGATCTGCTATTTTCTAAAACGATGTTACTCCTCTTCGAAAATGTTCTAAATGCCTCATTTGACAACAGTCCTACAACTATTTCAAGAAGGAACGGAGCTTCAGGTGCAAATTGTAAATATTGTATTCCGTCGGGCAGTTCATTCAAACAGGGGTCTACAAGAAATAAACTTTACCTAGTTGTTATTTAATGTTTATTTACTGAACCGCACGAAATGTGATATGAAGTGACATTGCGGAGAAGCGCTACTTTCAGTTTGATAGACACGAGAACACCATATTTGGGCTAAACTTAGTATCAGCATCCTCCCCATTGGTCACAAACTGAAATCCCTAAACAACTCCAATTGTGTCTATTCTATGAGCTCTTTTACCTTCACTATACTTGTTTTTTTAAAATTTGTTATTCCCACCGTGACAAATCTAGTCATTGGATCAGCTCAGCTGCCTGCAGATGCTACAGCGAATCGTCTCTCTGGCACATTCGCCGAGGCTCTGACTGCTTTCTGCTTACAAGCTCCACTGATCTATAGACCTGCCAGATCACCGACACGTTGCCCAGCTGCCGTAGGGATGGCGGTGAATTCACTCACACCTGCTCAGATTTTCAGTTACTGGTTCAGTTCACGGAACCAACATTGCTTTTGCATCTGCTCAGATTATCGGTTGGCTCACAACTTCCTTGGTTGCCTCCACTTAGAGTCCCAATCTCTACTGCGCCTCGCTCCTGCACACACACATACACACATTAATCAGAGTTGCGTTGTGTTTTGCAGTTACACGGTGCTGCGGAAGGACGTGCGCGAGATGAACAGTGACTCTCCTCCGAAAGCCGACGCGGGGCTCAAAGCAGGTGAGTTGAAACCTCGGCTTTAGGAGGTGAATCTCCAGCAGCTGGTTCGCAGCACGTAGCTAGTCCTCATCGCCGTTGGCAGAGAGCGCTTGCAGAGTGAGTAGCAGCGACAGACTGAGGCAAGAGAGGTTTTGTTTTTGTTGTTGCGGGGGAATGCAAAGGCCGAGAGCTGCTTTCAGTGTCGAGTCTATTTCTGTTTGAAGTCCCCACCAGGCTTTTTGTATAGTGCCCCTGATTCTCTGCTGCAGAGCTCTCACTCCTCCATGAATGCCGTTAAGAAACAGCTTGGTATGATCCCAGTCTTATTATTCACAGGTGGTTGACTCACAACCGTGATATATTTCTGCATTACTAATGCATAAAAAAGAAGCATCTGCTGAAGTGGTTAGATGTTACTTAAATGTTTTTAGTAAAGCTGTTTTTGTAAACTAAAATATATTGTCAATTAGTGTTTAATCTGTTTCAGTACTAGGAAATACCAACGTATACATTTTTTTCTCATTCTGTTTAACAGTTGCAGATCCTGCTACATAAATATTGTTATTATTATACTTTTTGTATAATTGTATCCCAGTGGTGGCTGTGTAGGATTCGTTGACTTGTCTCAGTATTTCCAATAACAGTTTTAATGTCCAAAGGTCTGAATTTACTTAAAAGGCTGGATGTAATTATATCTAAAAGAATACAGTATATGTATTTCTATAATATATTCAATCCGTATCTAGGAGAGTCGCACCACTGATGAGATATGTTCATTAAAGAAAGGAGATTTAATAAAGAAAAAAGACCAACCCATTTAAAGCGATCCATCACTTTATTCAATATATTATATATTATGTATAAATGCATCCTCATATATTTGTGACAGATATCACGTCGTCTAAGTCAAAGACAGACTGTTTATTTGTTTTGTTTCTAATGATTCATGATATTCTTTCCAGTTTAAGCACTCATTTTATTTAATCTGCAAGATTTAAAGAGCAATGCGATGAAATATTTGATGAAACATTTGTTCAGTGGTGATCTCTGTTCACGTAGCATGCAGCAGAGAATGGTAGCATCACTCATTGGGTGTGGTTCTAACTGTGTAAGTTGTGTTCCTGTAACATCCTTTTGTGTGTTTGACAGCACTGGATGCAGCCTTGGACTTCCTGCAGAGGTTTGTCGTGCCGAGCACCTGGAAGACAGAAGTGAAGGAAGAAAGCTCAAGCAGCGAGGACGAGGATGAAGAGGAGGAGGAGGCCCAGGAAGAAGATACAAGTGGCAAAGACGAGGAGGTAAAGGAAGGATCCTCATCCCCTTATCCTCGCGACCTCCAGAGTGTTAAAAAAAAAAAAAAGACACCCTCAAACTGTCTTGTCTCCTGTCTGCAGGAGGAAGTGGAGCCGTTCCCAGAGGAGCGGGAGAACTTTCTGCAGCAGCTCTACAAGTTCATGGAAGACAGAGGTGAATTCAGCGGGCATGTACAATCCATGTTGACAACAATCTGTTTTTGGGTGCACGGTGCAGCTTTATACTTAACGTACCAGTTGTGACACCAGTCTTCCTGCTTAAAGGACAAGGGACAGCTCAAATACAGCTGAACAAACTAAAAAGAAACACAATTTCAGTATTTTAATACCAGCATCTAAATACCATACAAGTTATGGTTATTTTTCTCAGGTCGTCTTTTATACATTTATACAGTATCTTTGAGTCTACCATCTCAACCGTTACGCGTTTCTCCTCCTCAGGAACTCCCATCAACAAACGGCCTGTTTTGGGCTACAGGAACCTGAACCTGTTCAAGCTCTACAGGCTGGTGCACAAACTGGGAGGCTTCGACAAAGTGAGTGCCGCCTCGGCAGCGTCACAACGCAGCACCATCGCACTTGTTTGGCGGGATGTCGACTGACTCCGACCTGTCTTCCCTTGTTTTTTCCGCGTTCGAGCAGATTGAAAGCGGCGCCGTTTGGAAGCTGGTCTACCAGGACCTGGGAATCCCCGTGCTCAACTCAGCCGCCGGCTACAATGTCAAATGTGCTTACCGCAAGTACGTACAGGCACGGCCCACGCTGCTGCGCTAAGCTGTTAGCTCTGTTTGGCAGATGCAGCCCTTGTTTCTATATATTTAAGACTGAGGAGCTCTTTGTAGTCTTTTTTTCTCTTTTAATGTCCATCTGGGTGACTTCTTTTTCTTTTTTCACAACAGAGTAAATTAAACTTTTATTTTGTGTTGAGTGTTATGATATGTAAATCTATAAGTTAGAACTGTCACAATATTTTGACGCGTGATGTCTGATCCCGCAGATACCTCAATGGATTTGAGGAATACTGCACTTCCACCGCCATCACTTTCAGGATGGACCTCCCTTTGAAGCAGGCGCCCAAGGGGGAGGTGAAGTCGGAGGGGGAGGCAAGCGCAGCACCGGTCACCTCCTCCAGCTCGGAGGAGCCAAAAGACCAGGTGGATGGAGACCCTTGTGGCACACCGTCTGTAGTCTGCAAGGTGCATTCTCCTAAATACGATCCCATTCAACGCTTTCCTTTTTTTCTTCTTTTGACAGCCATCCAAGCTGCGTGTTAGATTAAATACCCCCGGGCCTCCCCCCCGTTGATTATAATGAAGTAATCCCTTTCTTCACAGGACGAGAAGCCGGATTTGGCTCGAAACAAAACGGAGCCCGAGCCGCCGAAATCGGAGGAGGCAAAGGACGGCGGGAGCGACAGCGAGGACGGCGGGGAAGACGGCCCCCTCAACGGCGACGCGGACGAAGGCTCGTCGACGGCTCGCCTCGGACCCGAGAGCGCGAAGGAGGAGCGCGACGACGAGCAGGAGAGCAAAGACAACTCTGGGTAGGTGGTCTGAAAGGATGGTCCCTCCACCAGGGCGGTAAAGATAACCTCATGGCACAAACACGAGCTCCGTGCAGGGCTCCCGCATGGTGACACCGTGCAAATATTCAATCGGACCCTAAATACCCAAACGTTCCATCGGACTAAAGGACCTGAGGCATTCACTCTCCTTGGTGGCAGTTGAAATCTAAAAGACCATTAGCAGATGAGGAGCAGTGACCTTTCTGACCTTAATGACACTAATACCCAGTATACCCACAATCCACCGCTACCTGCTAACCAGAGAGAACAAAGCTCTCCTCACTCCTTCTCTCTGTCTCTCTAACTGAGCTCTTGCCCACTGCCCTCCGTGCTATTATTGTTTCTCGAGGCTTAGTCGGCGTCAGCCGGCAGAGACATCTTAGAGCACCGAAGCCGGACTGCTATGTTTCACCTGGCATGTCATGCTGTGCTCTCTCACCCTCTGTCTCTCTCTCTCTCTCTCTCTCTGTCTGTCTCTCTGGCTGGGATTGTTTGACGGCAGCCAGCCTCTCTGTGCACACAACGTGGCTCGTGATTTCCCTCTTCCCTTTTCTCTCTCTCTCTCTCTCTCTTTCTCTGTGTCTATTCTCTCATTTTTTTGGCTTTTTGATGTTCAGCTTTATTAAATGTTCCATGTGTGTGAGTGTTGTCACTTGATGCATTAGCACACTAGACACCGTATTGTGCTTTCAGAGGTCGAGGAGGAAGTGACTTCCGCGTTGAAAACTAGTTCAGGGAAGTTGGATAGTTTGTTCTTGGCTAGTGTTTCCTGTGCAGAGCATCTAGGTCATTCTGGGTTTTTTTCACCACCCACCACCCACCCTTGACACTTGTGTCGAGGCGGTTGGGGCCACTGTGGGCAGGGCTAGACCTGGCAAACAACGGGTTCTTGTGTCTGTTTGTGCGAACTGTTGCTCTGAGGGTCCCTCTCTCCGTAGATCAGCCTCGGGCTCGAGACAGTGTGACCGTGCTGATCACCACCACATGTGGATTTTCCGTCAGTCCAGATGTTCCCAGATGCTTTAGCTTTGTCGAGATGAGCAGTCCTTGTAGATTATGTGGTAGGGTGAGTGTTTACAGATTCACACAGCAGACTACCTGCAGGGATATCTCATCTTTTCTGAGCCTACAATTTGGATCTGCAGTGCGTGGATCACATTTCTTCATTTCAGCAGCAGCAACTGTGTGTAGTAATAGCGTGGCTGATTCACATTGAGCCTAAATGAGAAATTCTGGGGGGAAAGAGAAGGTGATTTCATAGAAGGAAACTCCTGCGCTGTGCTTGTTATCTTTTTTTTACCGCCAATGAAGCCTAATCAACTGCTCTATTGTAACGTGTGCTGCTGGTGTTAGAGTGCATAATATCATGCACATTCACTCGAGTGGAACTCTGCAGGTTTAAGGAAATCTAACGCGAGTGATGCTTTTAGATATAAGAAAAAATATGATTTGTTTTGTGCTGCAACTAATAATTATTTTGATTTTGATATGTATTCTTCTGCTGGCCGTCTTTTTGATCCATTGTTTGGTCTATGAAATATATGAAAACAACCAACCACGAGCCTGCAGAGTGAGAGATGACGTCATAAAGTGTCTTGTTTTGTTCACTCAACAAGGCCCCCAAAAAACATAGTTTAACAAAATGCAAAGTATTACGTTTCACAACCTGGAACCAACCATCGTTTGGCATTCTCCTTGAAAAAGAACATGAACGATAAATCAATTCTCAAAGTATTTGCTGTTTATTTCCGTTGTCTCGACACAGTACCTGTGCTTGTTTGTGTTCCTTGACCAGGCCGATCACCGATGAGGGGGGGGGGGGTGTAGAATAGGTCGGTGGTGTTGATTTTATGTGCGCCACGTTTCTAAATATAGTGTGTGGCATTTCGCAGTCTAGCGTGTCTCCGCGCCGCCTTCGGTCGTGGCGTGCGGGGACTCGGCTGGCGGCAGGAGGCGCGAGAAGGATCGGGTGGGGTTCTGTGTCGTTGCTGTTCTGTTTGGCAGCGGACCTAATTGGATCCGGTGGCCGTGCTTCCTCTCAGCGCTGTAGTCTTGCCTTAAGTTGCTGCGCTGCCTGCCAAGTTGTGCTTTGCTGTGCTAACCTGCCCCTGTGGGCCCTGTGGCCGCTGTGGCCCTCGCGCCTAAACCACTTACTGGCATTCCTGCACCGCCTGTATACCCTCCAGCTTCGACATCTCCTGACTGTCTCCCACTAGCTCCTCCTTGTGGCTGCTTTGTTTTTTTACAGTGTGCGTGTGTGTGTGTTTGTGAGTGAGAATCCCATGTTGCTGTGTGTGGATTTAGGGTTAGATAGCCTTACACTAGTGTTATTTCCCATGCAAGATGATTGATTTTAGCCATGAAAGAATTCTGTTTTATTCACTGTACACTCTTTGACTGGCATACTGTAAATGAACAGTTGTTTATACTGCAGTTTGTTGTAGGTTACACTGGACTAGAGTAACGGAAGGACAGAAAGTGTATGTTTCTGTATAGGAGAGTTGCTAGTGTTGTAATGGGACAGGGAAGGCAAGGGTGGAGCAAATAAGTAAGAACACAGGCTTCCTAGCAGCAGGTAGCAGAGTTGGGCGGGTGGCTGCGGGCGGGGTTCTGTGGTGCTCATTGGGGCAGCCTAGGGCCAGGAAGTGCTGAACTGTTTTTCTTGCAGGGATGACAGCAGTCAGGAGGGGGAGGAAGGGGAGGAGTTTGAGTGTTACCCCCCGGGGATGAAGGTGCAGGTGAGGTATGGGCGAGCCCGCAATCTGAAGACGTACGAGGCCACTGTGAAAGAGGCAGACGTGGAGGGGGGAGAGGTGCTCTACCTGGTGCACTACTGTGGCTGGAACGTCAGGTAAGACAGGACCTGGGGAGGAATCACCTAACGTCTATATTCACCCTAAAACAAACAAAAACGTTAAAAAAAGAAAAAAAAAGTACATCTCTTAACTTTCAATTGAGCGGCAGGGATCCCCGCTACATGGGTATCCCCTTAGTAATAACACACATCCCCGCCTCACAATTCTGCTTCCCTTGATCCAGTGCCGTGCTCAGTACTCTGACTGCGGAGAGCACTGGGCCATCTAGTGGCAGAAACAGAATTGAGGGCTGGGTCGATGTGGATCACTCCTCGGCTTCCCTTACTCAGTTTCGACTGAGTCCCCTGTCTGTCTGTCTGTCCCCACCCGCCCCCCCAGCTGTCTGTCTCTCCACTAAATCTACAGACAGGCTGAATTTGATACCAATTTGACTCTGGGCGCAGCCAGCCAGTGGGTTTTTGGATAAACATATTTTTTCTTTAGAGATCCTACAAGATGATATGACTTTAAACGTGAGCTACCCTCTGGATCTCTGAAAGGCCAAACAAAGTGCTGCTACACTCACCTCTACCTCTCAACCCTCTCCCCCCCCCTCCCCAGCGGGTCAGGGTTAACGCAGTGTTAAGTAGAGTGTTAGGGTACCATGACACAGAGGTTAACTAGTGCAACTAGCATTTCATTGTCTCAATGTTGTTGTGTGGTCCTCTAGCACTCTATTAGAGACAGTGGGATGTTCTCTGCATTGTGTCTGTCGTGTGGGATGTCGTGAAACTTTTCATTTTCCTCATACAACCCAAGTAGCAACCTTGGTACTGCTGGGACTCTGTTGCATATGATTTGTGTGGTGGTCGGTGTTAATATTGTTTCTTTCTTCATCGTAAAGGTTTGTCTTTTTCCACATAACACCATGGGATTTCTTCCTTTGCTGTTGAGGCTTATTGTGTCACAGCAACATGTTGGGGTCAGACATTAGAGGTGTCTGTGTGGTGGGTGGTGTGAGAGGATAGTTCTTCGCTCCTCTCGAAGATCTGAATGATGAAATTGTCTCTTGTCTTTGCACTTGACTTTTTAGATATGATGAATGGATCAAAGCAGACAAGATTGTGCGCCCGGCCAATAAGAACGTGCCAAAAATAAAGCACCGCAAAAAGATAAAGGTACGAGACTGGAGAGCGGATCGCTTTTCAACCGCAGCTTTTCAACCGGTTTTGATGTGGCGAACAGAAGCGCTGACTGTGTTCCATCCTGACAGAACAAAGCCGAGAGGGAGCGCAACAGGCTGGAGAGGCTCAATGAGAGAGACGTCCTCGGCCCGTCGCCCCACGCCAACCGCCTCGCACGCTCCACATGTGGCCTGAGTCAGGATGTCTTTTCCAAGATGGACGAGGGTGAGGACAAAGGGACTCAGCAGTCTCCAGTCAAGTCTATAGAAATTACTTCTATCCTCAATGGCCTGCAAGGTAGCAACACTCATTAGCCTGTAGTCCTCATGCACACTTAAAGCAGCTTAGGACTTTGTCAGTCTGTGGTGGTTTGATTAGGCTGTTGATAACCTGCTGAATCTAACAGACGTCCTTTCTCGTTTACCTCAGCCTCGGAGATGTCCACAGACGACAGCGAGCATGATGATGATGATGATGATGGCGATGATGATGAGGAGGAGGAGGAGGAGGAGGAGGGCGAGCACAACGAGGAGGATCGCCCCGGTTGCAGAGGCAGCCCCAGAAAGGCCCCGCCGGAGCCCCCGCAAACATCGGAGGGCTTGGAGAGCGGGACCCCTCCCGAAGCGTCCAAAGCTTTTCCCGTTCCAGGAAAGAACCAGGAACCGGCGGCCTCCGAGAGCACCGATGTCGGGAAGCGCAGGAGCCAACCGGAGCTGGAGGGAGAGCAGAGCAGCAGGAAGAGAAGATCGGACGGTGCAGCGGAGAGGGCCCCGAAGGGCCAATCCAAAGCCAAGACCCGGAGCACCAGGAGCGCCGACTGGCTGCCCGGAGCCTCCCCCAGAAAACTGGAGGAGAGAGCGGCCGGACCCGGGGAGGAAGGGGGGGCCTCGTCCAGCAGCAGCTCAGAGGACGACGGTGCCGAGTCCAAAGCGGCCGAGCCCCAAGCGGAGGAAAGTGAGCGAGGCCGAAAGCCAAAGGGTTCGCCTTCCAAGAAGTACAACGGGACGAAGGAGAAGACCAAAGGGGGCAGACAGGCCGGCTTCTGGGAGATTCCCGAAAAGAGGGCCAAAATGTCTGGGAACGCAGAGGAAAGGCCGGCGGTCCGCTCTAAGGGCCAGAAGGACGTGTGGTCCAGCATCCAGGCCCAGTGGCCCAAGCAGACTCTCAAGGAGCTGTTCTCTGACTCGGACACGGAGGCCGCCAATTCTCCCCCTCCGCCGGCGCCCCCGTGCCCCAAGGAGCCCGGCGTCGAGCAGGAGGCCGGACCCGAGGACGAGGCCTCGGCGGAGCGGCCGGAGAACGACAAACTGCAGGAGTTCCCGAGCAGCGGCAGCAACTCTGTGCTCAACACGCCACCAACGACGCCCGAGTCTCCCTCAGGGGGAGGCGGCGCCGCGGAGGAGTCTGGCGAGGCGCGGGCGTCCTCCTCCCCGCAGCCGCCGCCGCCCGCAGCGGCCATGGTGCCTTTGGAGACCGCGTCGGACTCTCTACCCCCGGGACCCGCGCAGGAGGAAGTGGCGGGCGGGCGCAGTGAGACAGACAGCAGCACGGTGGAAGTGGAGAGTCTGGGCGGGGAGCTGCAAGAGCTCCCTCGGGACGAGGGGGCCGGTTCCCCCTCCAAGGTGTTTGACGTCAGCCTCTCCTGCAACAACAGCAGCAGCAGCTGCAGTCTGGAGCTGAGCAGCAGCAGCCACCAGGAGAGCGAGCAGAAGTCCAAAGGTACAAGTAACAGCCAACTCACTCAGGCCTTTGTTTCCTCCGCCTTGATTCGCTATTCATTATTTCTACTTTTAAGAGGGAAAACCAAATAACTAACAGGCCGACTACTTATTTCACCGTCCGCCTCCGTGCGTTTTGCCTTTTGCAGCCTCTGCGAATCAGAAGCGGCAGAAGGAACCCCCCGCAGGTGGGCCGTCAAAGAAACAAAAGCCAAACCGCAAGAGCCTAGTTGTGCCTCCCAAAAAGAATAGGAAAGCAGGTGAGAACCGCTGACCAGCCTTCTTATTTCAACAGCGAGCAGACATTTTATCGGCCTTAGAATCTTCATTCTGCATTTGCTCGTTCCAGATTGTTGTACCCCTTCTTTTTTCCCCGCTTCAGCCGTCTTTCCTCCTCCAGCCAACAGCAGCGACAGCGAGGACCAGTCCGTTGTCGGGGGCACTGCCAAACCGACTGCCTCGAAAAGCAACGCCCCGGACGCGAAGGCCACCACTTCGCCCAAGTGTCACATTCGATCTCCCCCGAGCCATAAGTACCACAAGCAGGGTGACGCCGAGCACACGCAGCACCGAGACCACCACGGGAGATCGTCGCGTGTGTACAAGTGGAGCTTCCAGATGTGTAAGTGTTGCACGTGCAAGTCATTTGTCATCCCCTATTTGATTGTTATGAATCGACGGATTCGTCTCTGTGGTTGGGATATAATTTATCATTTTATCTAGCAACTCTGTTTTATCATATTCATTGAGTTTTATATGCGTTTACGTCTTTGCTCTAGTAACTCTGGGCTCCTAAAATGCATTATTTTCGCTCCGCTTAGCTGACCTGGAGAAGATGAGCGGCCTGGAGAGGATTTCGTTTCTTCAGGAGAAGCTGCAGGACATCAGGAACCACTATCTCTCCCTCAAGTCCGAGGTGGCCTCCATCGACAGACGTCGAAAACGCATGAAGAAAAAGGAACGGGAAAGTGAGTCGACACTTTGTGACCTCGACATCACCGGGCTGGTGTTGCTCCAGCTGTTCTTGAACCTATTCTCAAGTTTGCGTGTAAAGATCTGGATCCCCATTAAAGCCAACAGTGCCTCCAAACCGACAATAACCAAAACCCTCTTGTCTTTGTCTCCCCAAAGGCACGGTGGCCGCTTCCTCCTCGTCCTCCTCGTCCTCGTCCCCGTCCTCCAGCTCACTGACTGCGGCGGTCATGCTGACGCTGGCCGACCCGCCGGTGTCCTCCTCCTCCTCCTCCTCTCAGAACTCTGGGGTATCAGTGGAGTGCAGGTGACAGGACCAACCGGGGAAAAAAGCCACCGCACTAAGCACTTAACCAGCACCCCGGGGGCACTGCTCCTCTCTCCTTCTCCTTTCGACAAGTAGGAGAGATGGAGCTAGTACGGTATACGGGACCCAAACCATCACACCAGAGACAAACAAAACAACAACAAAAAAGAAACAAGCACTGTTTTCTATTGACAATTATTTTCTCGGCAAGCTAATGGCACTTAAGTGCACTTTTCTCAAGATTGGGTCGGGGGATAATAACATTTGCCCAAACAATACAAAACGGTCTTTTACGCTCTCCTTAATTGAACATTTATAAGAATTGTTTTTGAAAGCAATAATAATTTCCATTTGATGAAGTTGATATTGGTGAGGAATGATTTCCAGCTCTGTCCTCGTAGCCTGACGCTGTGCTTGCCCTGTTGTTGTGAGTCCAGAGGAACAGTGCTCACAGTGTTCACCCTCATTACTACAAAAAAAAGGCCTTTGTGTGGTTAAACCTCAAGTGGTTGACGACGCTCTTGTCGCGTGCCGGCACGTGGTGCTGTACGTGTTTGCATTGAGTCCTGGAGGTGTCGGCGTTTTGGGTTTCAGACCATCACAGGTCCACTGACGGCCTCAGTGGATGAATATGGAATGATACTGTAGTGCCTTTTTGTTCTTCTCCATGGGGCACTTTGAGAAAGGACTGCACTCGTTCCCCCTGATCCTCTTCTCGATTCAGAGGCTCTGCTGGAATAATGTGTTCCTTTGAAAAGACTGGAGAATGCCCCCTGATTGAGAAGGCACTGAAGGGCTGAGTCTGACCGATAACGATGGTTTTAATCGGCGTATGGTGAAATTAAAAGTATAATTGTAAAAGCGGGAACTCGTATACTGGATCACCTGAAATCTACTACTGAATAGTCACCCTGTTTGGGTGCAACTGTTAAGTCTGGCAGTATAAAATGTGCAATGATGAAGGTGATGAATCCAATGGTAACATTGCTCCAGTCGCTTAGCCTTTTTAAAAGCCCATTTGATTCATTTGATTATGTTTCCATCAGCCATTTAATCCCCTCTGTCCCATTGTCTTCACCCAAGATTTGCAACTGGATCAAGTTAACGTGAAGGCAGCTATAGGAGGTATTTATTGCATGTACTCTGTACTGCAGAACACATGAATGAAGCGGAGTCCCACTATTGGCAGTGTTTTAAACAAACATGAAGGTATTCAATTAAGTGTATTTCTGCTTCGGTAAATACAGCAACGCGTACTCTTTTGGCATCTTTCTAGTAGTACTAGTGTTCAAAAGTGTCATGCCAGTTTTTCTCACACTCATCCCCACCAAAAACGTTTGGTTCTGTTTCGTGTACTATGACCAGATTCAATTTAAAGATATTGTAATTGTACATTTATATCATAAAGTGACGTATGTGTGTACATTTCTGAAGACATCTCCAGTGTTTCCTTTGTATAAACCCCCCACTGTATGATAACCTGAAGTTACATTTTGTTTGGCACCTGTATGTAATTGTATGCTTTTGTTATACATTTGTATATTGAGAAGTGTTTTGAGTCAAGCTATTTAATATCTTGCACTGTTAATAACATGTACCTTTCTGTACAGACAGTTTTACGGTTTTATCTGCAGTCTAAGTGTAAATACTGAGGGTTGCAGCATGTTTGTTCTCCCCTTTGGTCTTCATTATTGTTCTCTTGTAGGAACAGATATATTTGAGTTCATTTGTTGTTTTGTTTTTCCTCTTTTCATGAGTTTGAATACTTTCTTTCTTCCATTTTTTTCAATGTCCTGTTTTACTTTAGTTTGTATTCTTTTATTTTCTTATAACTCGTGCTTGTAAGAGAAGAGTGGTGGTTCTGGACGCGGCTGAACTATTTTACAACCTGTACATAGCCTGAAGCTTCAGCTGTATGAACCTCTATATGGAAAATAGTCTGGATCATAGATTAAGAGAAAGTAATGGAGCTTGTTGAAAAATGCTCAATAGTATTTATTAGGCTCATCTGAAGATGATCAATGTGTAATTTATTGTAAAAATGTAAGCAAAGCAGAAGCCTCTGTTTGAAATAAATGCCATAGTTTGTGAAGTATTCAGTGTGTCTCTTGCCTTCAGTGATGGAAAATAAGTATTGAGTAACCTTATTTGTGAAGTACAATTTGTCGGTACTGACACTATACATGATTAATTCTGTTTTATTATACTTTTACTTAATTTCCATGGGAAAGTTGTACTTTTTACCCCCATTTGCACCAGTCGGTTTTACTACATACATTTACTAAATGTAATGTAAGGAGTTAATTTGCCACAGTAACTTTAAACACTTGAGAAGCTTTCAAAAATGACACAACAGAGATTCACTACCAAACAGTATAAACAAAGTGAACTATTTAACCGTGGTTAAATTGAACAAGCTTGCTGCTTACGTCGCGCATTATAAATAACTTCCGGTGCTTAAAATGCATGAAGCAGGTTGATATTCTTTTGCTACACTTTGGTATTTCAATACCCGTTTTCTTCCAGAATAAGTCGTTGATTGGCTATTGAGCTCAAACTGGAGCATGACGCGTCATCGATGCGTCATGCTGCGACCTACGTACTTCCGCCCCTTGCTTCCTTAGCAGCCGGCTAGCTGCTTACCAGCTAGTGCACCGCGGACCTCGCTCACCCACAGGTTAGAAATGATGAGCGGACAGACGAGTGCGGTTGTCGTCGGGGCATGCGGGGCCCTTTTCGTCGCATACTGCATTTATTTTGACAGAAAGCGGCGGAGTGACCCTCTCTTTAAGGAAAAGCTGCGCGAGCGTAAGTATTTGGGCTGGAGGGCGCAAAGAAAGTTAGCGTTAGCTTGGTAGCCTAGCATTATGGCTTCCAAGTAGCGAGACAGAAAACGTTATGCGTTTCTGTGTTTATCTATATGTGGCGTAGAACGGGGTTAACAAGAGCTTTGACTTAATCTCGCCGGGCCACTTTGCCGGATAGATCGCGTTACATGATCCTAGAAACCCGTAGCTAGCAGCTTAGCTTGTGACCACGTGTTACTCGAGTCCGACCGAAGACCAGACGTGCCAGCACGGTCTAAAGCCGCTTCTGTTTCGCAGGTAGAAGAAATCAAAACGTTTCTAGTGCAAAGTCTGGATTGGCAAGGGTAGGAGAAAACCACTATCGTGCTTTTGTGAGTCACCGGGGCCTAACTGTGCACTTCTGACTCTTCTTTTCTTGACCTTGAAGCTACCTGACCTGAAGGACGCGGAAGCTGTTCAGAAGTTCTTTTTGGAGGAAATCCAGCTGGGAGAGGAGCTCCTTTCACAAGGTCAGTGTGCTCTCGATGTATTCATGCCTAAGCACTGCAATGCTTCATGTGAAGTTTCAGTCAGCACTTTTGCATTCCTTGATCTGTATTCTAAACTTTTTGCAACCTTTTGAATCCAGGTGACTTTGAGAAAGGAGTGGACCACCTGACCAATGCCATTGCAGTTTGCGGTCAACCCCAGCAGCTGCTCCAGGTGCTGCAGCAGACGCTGCCTGCTCCAGTCTTCCAAATGCTTCTCGCCAAACTGCCCACCATCAGCCAGGTCAGAATGTCTCCCATCCCGCATCAAAGTCTGAAGTGTTTGTTTTGCAGAGCATCCTTAAACCCCCTGGTTGCCATTTGTGGTCTCTGGGACACAAAAGGGTGCAAGATCAACTTTAGGATTATCCAAAGCAGAGAGCCGTGTGTCAGTGGCTCTCGGCTATTTCACCCCTAAGACATAAATACTAAGCATAGGAAAACGCAGCTTCATTTCCTGTAAGTTGAAAAATGTCATGTTTAGTGTTTTTGCATAACCTGGATGATTTGTGTTTTGCAGCGAATCATCGGCTCTCAGCATTTGACAGAAGACGACGTGGAATGAATGTGTGTGAGATGGAAATAAGAGGTGAGGACTTACCGCACCAGCCATTCACATCTGTGTTTTTTTCCCCTTTGGCGCAGCATCCTTTGTAAACCCCCTAGTTGCCATTTGTGGTCTCTGGGACATGAAAGGGTGCAAGATCAACGTTAGAATTATCCAAAGCTGAGAGCCATGTGTCAGTAGCTCTTGGCTATTTCACCTCTAAGACAGAAATTCCAAAATAACAAGTAACTCGTCATGCTTGAAGTTTCTAGCTGTTGTGTAATTTGTGCTTTGATACTCTCTTGCCATAACTTCTAAAATATATTGTTTTCTGTATTTCAGAGAATCCTCAGAGGTCAGCCTTTATCAGAGGACGACCTTGAATGGGACTTTGATTGAGACAAACAACTGCTATTACTGAGATTGTCTCAAGTATTTCAGGTGTTTGTGGATTGTATGGATGTGACTGCACTTGAGAGCCTGATAACTGAGCTTGACTTTGATTTCTACAACAGCACTCTGAGGTTAAAGAAGTTTGTGCGAGATACTGAACACATTCCATCTTTCTAATCTGATTTCTGTCGGTTTATTCTATTTTTCTCAAATGGAATTGTGTGCTTTATTAGGGTGCTTGGCTGCTGATATGTACTTTATTTAAAATAATAGTTATGTAAATGTATGGTTGTACAGTTTAAATGAATTATTTCTTAAGAGGTGCCTACACCAAGCAGAAAATGTGTTTTGTGGGCTGTCAAGTTTTCAAATTGTTTATGTTTCAGTCAATCATATCAGGAAATGTGTGTAAAATCCTACAATAAAACATGAAAACACAGGAACAGTTTCTGGTTGTGACTCTCCAGTAGATGGCAGTAGCAATGCACAGAAGAATGTAAAGCTTTGTTTTAAAACGTGGCAACGGGACATTTCTTGTTAGGAAAGCCACATTTTGATGAATAAAAATGGTGCAGAACTCAAGGATAAATTCTGCTACGGATTTAATAAAAGTACACCCAACAGCAGATTGTGTATGAAACATTACAGAAGCTAATATAAAGCACTCTTGATATGCAGGATGCATACGTCTAGATGAAAACACGTCTTCTACGTGTTAGTAAATCATTCACTGCTAATGAAATGTCGAGTATTTCGGTTTCCAGCATGTGTGAGTGCACTGAGCTGCGTTGTCTTCATCGTGAATGGCTCCACTGTGCGTGCAGGGGAGCCAAAGTTGAGCCGGTCGTTGGGGAAGAGGGTATTTCTGTTTTGACGAGCGTCTCTTGGAAGACAAATAGAGCCGTAATTGTTTTTATCCCCGTCTGCTGATGTTTTTCTAAGAAGTCGCTGGAGAGCAGCTCGGCCCTTGACGTTGCCAGGAAACCGTAGCGGGGGGGTTCAACATTAGGAATGAGAAATGAAAATTGAACGGCGGCCCAGAAATGTCGAGTTACGACTAAATGGTAGACGGTGTTCCATTTTCCACAAGCTCATGTGCTCACTCGGCAGCCTTTCTTGTTTGTTTTGACGATTGGTGGAAAAGAAGGCGAAGCCCGTCGGCACCCGTGAATTCTTTAACTAAAATCCCTAAAGCAAAACCCATTCATTCTCTATGGTAGTGCTAAACCACTACGGATGTAATATATATTTGGCCACCGGTGGCGCTGTTGTGCGGCCCGAGCGTTTACCCGGATGTAAAGCGTTGCCGTCTACCCGGCAAGCAAAGAGCAGAAGTAAATATGCACTAATAAAGATGGACGCATACAGCGCCGACCAAAAGAAACTCACTCGTACGTGTCGTACTTAAACAATTAAATGTCAGTGCACACATTCCGAACAGGTAGGCAGGCAGGCTAATCCACAACGTGTATGTGTTTACACACCTCCTGGATCCTGATTGGTGTCGCTGCTGCAGCCGCAAGGCACTGATTGGATGCTCACAGACCACAACACAGCGCAGATGAAAATGATTCAGACTACGGCGTTTATATGTTCAACAATAGGAAACGTAGTCTTAGCTGTTTTAAAATTACACCAAGTTTATTTCGGATTATTCCAAAGGAAGAATACAAGGCGCAGGGAACTTTGAGGTGCGTAAACGCCACTTAGAGGTTCGTAAAAGCTATTTAGAGGTGCGTAAACGCTATTTCCAAAATCCCAGAGGTGCGTAAACGGCGTTTACGTGCGGTTACCCTCCACTACAGCCCTGACTATATCCTGTATATTTATTATGCTAATAATATATTGTATATTACATTATATTCTGTATACATACTATGCACGTACTGAGAGAATATTAAACTATAAAACGTCGTTAGCCATACTGCACTTTAGTACAAGTGTCATGTCTATAAATTTATTTTAGTGTCACACCAGTTTATAGTTGTGTTCACGTGTGTTTGACTGCATTAATTACTAATTGCATATCACAGATGTTACTCAACTAATAAATGGGGATCTTGTAATACAGCGATTGCCAAAGTGTGGGCCGCGAAGGTCATTTACATAAATAAAATGTTTTTAATTTTCAATTTTGAAAAGTTTGAAATTAATATCAAAATATTTATGATGCGGCACATTAGTTATGTGAAACATTAATTGATGAAGCACAAACAATTTAAACGAATAGATTAATAAAACAATAAGGCTCTTGCTCGAAACAGCTGCTCTTGTCCGCCTGTCATCATTCAACAAAAGGCGCCGCCAAACAAAACAATGTCAAATGGGGCGCCCTCTTGTAGTATTAAAGTAAATAGACCGCATTTTCCGCACTCCAAGGGGCACTTAAAAGCCTTTCATTTTCTCAAACGACAGTACGCCTTATAATCCAGAGCGCTTTATATATGTATCAATTGGTTAATCGGTTGATCCATACTGGTTGTACACGGCGCTCAAGGCGCTCTGCCAAACATGCCAAAGGCCTGTCTACGACGGCGAGATGCTGAGCGGCCCTCAAGCGCGTGAGATATGGAGCTTGTTTCAGGGCGCGTCGGAGAAACAAAGCTGACGTTCTTGCCGAGAACTTAACAGAGATTAAAGAGCGAGAGACGGCGCTCTTTTCTCTACAGTAGCTGAACTATCTTAACGGGGAAAATGAGTTATTCTAAAAGGAGCCCTTGGCAGGCGGCGTGGATGGAGAGCAGCCGAAGGAGACAACAATCTGCACCGTGCGGCCATGTCGCGGCCCAACGGCCCCCGCCAAGGTCAGGCGGGCCGAGCTCGAGCCGAAGCGGAGACGGACGGTGAGCATCGGTTGCGCATTGTCTCCTCGCTGCCGAGATGACAGAAGATTTAAGGCGTAGTTGGCGAGGGGGGCGGCGGGAGCGGACGCACCTCGCAGCATCGATCGGACCCTGAAAGCACCATCTCCACCACCCCGACGTCAAACGTTTGACTGCAGTATCTTATGCACATTATAATCCGATGCGCGCTATATATGAAAAATGTTCTAAAATACGTCATTCATTGAAGGTGCGCCTTATTGTGCGGAAAACACGGCACACGAGCTCCGAAGAAAATGGTATACAAAACATACATTGTCGGTTAATACATTTTTAATCGGTTAAATTCTTAAGGTCATTTAATCATCCCTAGTTTATGTTTTGATCAGAGTTGTGATTAAAGGTTTGGTGGGCCGCAAAACATTTTTAGATTTCAAAGTGCGCCGCGGCATTCTTGAGTTTGGGACCCGCTGTTGTAATAGATTAAACTACCAGAATTGTTTAAAGTCAGTCAAATGTAAACACATTAATGCCTCAATGATTAGGATAATATATGTTATATTTGTTTTAATCTTTCATTGCATTGAATTTTATTTTGATGACCATAGACACTGGAGCACACATGGTGGTCTATATCACTGCTGTCACATTGATGGCTTTCTTTTTATTTTTTCTTTCAGGGATTGCTGTGTTGCATTCAAGGTGGCAGAGTCGTGTGCAGGAGAGCATCTGAAATGGGATTCTTGGAGAACAACAGATGCAATTGTTGCCGATGTCACTTCTGGTAACCTCCGAAACACATGTGCTTCACGATCACATTTTAATGCAAACATTAATATCAAGCTGGACTTGTTTCACTGCATGCGTTCCTCCGTGAGTGTCAGAGCATCAGGCCCTGTACAGTTCCTTCGCTCAGTTCCTCTGGACTGGGACAAGCACAACAGCAAGACAGATCACACCCAGGCCCCGAATCCACCTCCTCAAAGTGATCCACTCGCTACCCAGTCGCAGGTTCCTCTGTCATCCTCACTGGCACCATGAAGGTTGTTCCAGTTTTCTCCATGTTCTGAGTCCCAGAACAACCCCAGGGCCTCGGGTAGAGCCAGGTAAACATCTCACACACGGACATAGTGATTGACAACATCAGCGCTAGCTAACTTTATTTTTATGGATAGCGTATTACATTTGTGTCACTTTTCCATTTTTTTACAAGATGTGAAAATATATTTAGGGTGTTATTGAATAAACATTTACACACAAATACCAGTCTTTCATGAGCTTTTAATGGAAGTTTATATTTATTATACAAGTATTTGATTCTATAGGTGCAGACAATGTGTGAGACATGAGAGTGTGAGAGAGTATGAGAGACAATGTGTGAGACGTGAGAGTGTGTGAGACAGTATGAGAGACAGTGGGAGACAGTCCGTGGGACAGTATGTGAGATAGCGGATGCTCGGCTGCAGCGTGTGGTAACATCACGTAATGTTTCGGCTCGTACAGGACGTCATCGCGGCTAAAGTCTGTCCCTATAAAACGTTAATCTAACTGATATCGTTCCTGCGCCGGAGCAGGTTCAAGTTTTTCGATGTGTTGCTATGGTGATTTAGACAAACCTGCTTCGGGGCAACCGGAAAGCCTCATCTACGTCATCTCATCCTGAAAATGATCCGGCTAACTCAGTCAGCCACGTACGAGGAACAGGGCCCAGGGAGCGTATTCAGCGCTGCATGCAAGTGCGAGTATGAGTTATACTAAGGTCAAATCTGCTGTCTTGAAAGCATACGAGTTGGTCCCTGAGGCCAGAAGTACCGCCAGAAGTTCAGGAAGTGGCAGAAGTGATAAACAAACTAATGTGGAAATCGCTCGTGATTTGCTGTGCCATTTCAACCACTGGTGTTCCGCTGCAGATGTTGAGAGTTTTGATGTGATTCGATAGTGTTGGAACAATTAAAAAATTTGACTCCTCAGCGTATTGCGACGTATGCAGGGCTGTAGTGGAGGGTAAACGCACGTAAACGCCGTTTACGCACCTCTAGAATTTTGGAAATAGCGTTTACGCACCTATAAATAGCGTTTACGCACCTCAAAGTTCCCTGCGCCTTGTATTCTTCCGTTGGAATAATCCGAAATAAACTTGGTGTAATTTTAAAACCGCTAAGACTACGTTTCCTATTGTTGAACATATAAACGCCGTAGTCTGAATCATGTTCATCTGCGCTGTATTACGGTCTGTGAGCATCCAATCAGTGCCTTGCGGCTGCAGCAGCGACACCAATCAGGATCCAGGAGGTGTGTAAACACACGTTGTGGATCAGCCCAGTGGTCCCCAACCTTTCTTACCTCACGGACCGGTTTCATGTCAGACAATATTTCGCGTACCGGTCGAAAAGGTCCGGCGGGGGGGGTAGTAGTCGTTGCGGGCAGAACGACCGACGGGGGGGTAGTGGTCGCGCGCTCTGTGTTTGCTGGTCGTGCACGGTAAAAGGACAAGAAAAACGCCTGGTGACGCGTAGATTAGAAAGCCTTACAGAGTCGCGACGCTTTGTGTTGCGTTGCTTCACATCGCGTCGAGGTCTGTATGATCACAAAATTCAGAGTTTACCTATCTCTAATTTTACCACTACAGCACTGGACGTATGTAAGTGAACAGAACGCAACCACTGCACTTAGAGCGGCTGAGCTGGCGGACGATTTTGTGTTGACGCACAAAAGTGGGTTTGGTGAGGTGTGCTCAACATGTGAAGGTGTCCTCGGGAGCGCTCGTTTCGGGGTCTTTTCAGTCTTTAGTAGCCCACCCCACGCATGCATTTAAAGACTCACGTGGAAATACTTTTACCATGCTCCAAATAATTGCCTATGAGAGCAGCATGTAATCCAGCAATGAACACATAATATGTTTAGTGAAAGTGTACATGTAGCCTGATTAAAATGATGACAGGACACGAAGATAAATGTATTTCTCTTTAATGTGGAATCTTTATTTCCCCCGACTGCACTCCTGGAGCACAGCCTTAATGTGTCAAATTAAGGAGACACTTGGGACAGTGTACAACAAATAAACTTCTTTACTAACTAGTAACAGTATGACATGGAATAGAGCTCACAATTACATAAAGTTAACAGTTAGGCTACATAAAAAAAACAGTAGTGACGCCCTCCTGTTAAACAGAGACAAAGAACATGCACATCGGTCTCGTGCTGTTCAACACTCACATCACTGTCGTTCCTCCAAAAGCCCCGGAAACAATAAAGTCACTGGAGCGCCTGCGCTCGCGGCTCCGTGCACGTGCGACCTCGACCCCCGGCAGCTCGTCACTCTGCTCTAAACGAAGCAGAGCCGCAAAACCCGAGAACATACACTCCGTTAACAGTTCAAATCACGATGTACATGGCGAGTCAGGTTTATTAATGCGAGAACACTTACGCTGACCCGCTGAACAGGTGTTTCCCCAGCGCTGTTCCGATGCTAACCGCTAACACTGTGTCGTCCTCGGTAGCCGCCAGGTCCCGTTCTGCAGCTCCAAATCCCACGTGAACTCATGGCGATGTAAAGTGACAGTACGCGCTCACCCTGTGTGCGGACCATCTAGCAGCACGAAAACCCCCCTGCCCCCACTTCACCCAGCTACATACAACTTCAGACTAATCACACTTTTCAACAAAGCAATTGGTTAAAATAATTCGTTAGGGTATTTAATGCTTCTGAGTTTTCAGAGAGACGCAAGGACACGCAGACGCAAGAGCCCCTTGCGTGCCTTTTCACACCTCCTTGCGTGCGTCGACCCATTTTCTAGACGTCTAGCGTCAAAAGCTACGCAAGCCGGGCTGCGATAGGTCTGCTAACTACATCCTTTACGGAGTCTCACATTTCCCTTTTCATAGCCCGATACCGCCATTATTAAAGCGAAGAATGTTTACGAGAGAACGGATCAGATTGAAGAGCTTTAGTCGGAAGAGATGCGTAAATATTACCGCTTCTACAAGCAGTCATTGGCGGACTATGAGGCCTCTAATTCACGGAGGGAGATCTCCGCAAATGTCGGTTTGCCGGTCGAGAGGTGAACAAAGTTGTGGAGGAAAATACGGGACAAATGTGTCCGCGATGAAAAGCAGCAGCGGCGACGCACGAGGCAATAAAGTCTATGATAAATAAATTACATTACATTACATGTCATTTAGCTGACGCTTTTATCCAAAGCGACGTACAATAAGTGCATTCAACCATAGGGTACAAACTCAGGAGAACAAGAAACAAGAAAGTGCAATTTCCTCAAATAAGCGAATTTACAATTTGCTATAGATGAGTGACGTCACAAGTACAGTTTAAGTGCTACAATTTGTTAGTCTTTAGTCGAGGTAGAGTCTGAAGAGGTGTGTCTTTAGTTTGCGGCGGAAGATGTGAAGGCTCTCTGCGGTCCTGATGTCTTCAGAGAGCGCGTTCCACCATTTCGGCGCAAGGACAGCGAAGAGTCGAGACCTAGTCGAGTGTTTTGCTCTCAGTGAGGGAGGGACGAGTAGTTTTGCAGATGCAGAGCGGAGAGTGCGGGTAGGGATGTAGGGTTTGACCATGTCCTGGATGTAAGCTGGACCCGATCCATTCACAGCATGGTACGTGAGCACCAGTGTTTTGAACTGGATGCGGGCGGCCACCGGTAGCCAGTGAAGAGAGCGGAGGAGTGGAGTAGTGTGGGAGAATTTCGGAAGGTTGAAGACCAGTCGAGCTGCTGCATTCTGAATGAGCTGCAGAGGTCGAATGGCGGTGGCAGGGAGACCTGCCAGGAGGGAGTTGCAGTAGTCCAGGCGGGAGATGACAAGAGCCTGAATCAGTACCTGCGCTGCCTTCTGAGTGAGAAGGGGACGTATTCTCCTGATGTTGTAGAGCGTGTATCTACAGGATCGCGTTGTCGCAGTGATGTTGGGAGTCAGGGAGAGTTGGTTGTCGAGTGTGACGCCGAGGTTCTTAGCAGTCGAAGTGGGCGTATAAATAAACAAACCAACGACTTCCACACACAAAGACGTGACTCTCTAGGTCGTCTTCAACAAAACACGTTACTCCGCCTGTTGTTCTGGAGTCGAATTGCTCTGCAACACACGCAAGACTTTTAAAGCCATGAATTGAAACGAGTGCGTCGACGCAACGACGCAGAAGCAGAAGCACGCGCCACCCTTTATTCTCTCCTTTGGGGAGGCTCAGAGAAACCCTAACCACCCCCCCCTCCTGCAAACAAACACTGCTGCTGGACACGACCTCCGTCCCCTGCAGACTGTAAGAGACATCAAGCCTGTCTGACATAAAGCCTTGATATTGCGTAATTCAGCATGACACAGCACAAAAAAGTCTAAAGTAAAGTCTTCCACAATCTTAAGTGGAACTTTTTTTTTAATGCAGTCAATGAGGTGTTTTAATTTGATGCCATTATTTACTGCAGCCCTGCTCTATTTGAGTCTGCTCTAATGGATTATGAGTCAGCTCTTCACATCCGACGAGGCCGACGGGGGATGAAAAATATCTAAAATAAAGAAACTCCTTTTTGTGCAGTAGGGGGAAGTGTTGCTCCAGCCTGTGTGTCTGCAGACCCCTCATGGTTTACCGTTGAATGGAGAGAGAGCCAAAAACGCTTCCAGTTGACAGCAATAACAATGGCTGCCTGCAGCACAGAGACCATGTGCTCGGGAGGGGTGATTATTTATTTTTTTGAACAGTTTTGTAATCCTTTTTCCTAATGTGCTCACGATGACAGACGGGGCCTGTTCAATCATTGCAGGAAATAACCTGTTATTGCAGGCAACATTAAAATCCCAGGATACGGCACAGGGGAGCGAACCAAAGCGCTCTGACTGCCATTCTAATTTGTCTTTGCATGGATTCCGATCGTATGTCAAACGCTGTATTGGGAATTTTCTAATCACACGAGCTCCACAACTCATTACTGGAAATCCTGTCAACAAATGATCCACAGCAGTAATTACCTTTCGCGGCGTTCTTCCATTCTGTGGGCTTGAATGTCAGAGCTTGATTACTGCTCCGAATACCGAGAGCCTTACGCACAGAGATTTGGTGTATCTGTCCGATGGAGATGTCTGGTCATGTAGGAGCAGCTGTGTTTTGGGAGTTTTAAGGTCGGCCAGAAATAACTAGCGTAGCATGCGGTTGCCATGGCATCTCAACGGAGCTCTGCTTGTGGAACGCGCAGTAACAGCAGGTATTTGCTGTCCGTAGCGGGCCGACCACTGACTGCTTGCCCCCTCCCCAATATGTCCTCGGATGCTTCCGTGTTTTTCTTGGAACCTGTTTTCCCTCCAGGCCCGGTCGATGCTGCTGACGTCATGGCTGCGGCCTACTGTACTGTCATGGTAGAGGAGGGCAGGCCGGGGGAGAAGAAACACGAGACGCGTCGGTCCTGGGCCAGCAGCTATAATAAACACTGCATTCTGTTCTGCACTGCCGCTTGTGCAGCAGAGTATTAATTACCTTTCCGTGTGTGTGTGTGCGTGTGTGTGCGAGTGTGTCACCAGCCAGGGAATGAAGAAGAAACATTTCCAAGGCACGTCCTTAAAATAAAGCAGCACTGTACGTGCTCAGAGTATTAACTTCCACACAAATGACCCATTTTTCCATCTCAAAGGACTGGTGGAAAAAAAAGGGGGGGAAGAGGGGGTTAACGGTGGAGCCGATCACGTGAATCTCAAGCAGGCGTCAATCGCTGGCGGATTTCTCTTCCTCTGTGGGGCAATGTCTTTCTTTTCTGTTTCTCAGCCGCCCTCCCCGCAGTAACTCCGGTGCCCTTCCTCCATGTGTAAAAGCCAGGCTGCCTATTCAGCTCTGTTGTTTACATTCCCGGTGAGTGTGTGGAAAGACGACCCCCCCCTCCTTCCCGCCCCCCTCCCCATTAGACTCTCTAATGTCCTCCCCACCCAGCCTCCACCTATCTCCTCATCAGTAGATCCCCGATAAGACGCAAATTCAACAGCACTACTCTGCCCGAGAACAGTCAGTGCGTCACCTGACCTGTAAATACCTGTTAACGTTGGCTATATATATATATATATATATATATATATATATATATACACATATCGTTTTTTTCTTCCCGTCTGGGCCACCAGCCTTTCTCTCGGAGCGGAAATGGTCTCGAAGAGAGACAAATAGAGCGGATAGCATCAGCATGGCTGAGCCGGAGAAAGAAGAGAATATCTCAGTTCTCATCCTGTCGTCTGTCATCAGCGTTATCTCTGCAATCTGGGCGAGGAGTGAAACCCGAAGAGGAGAGTGACACGCACCCTGAACACGAGGGCGAAGAAAGGGTTAAATAAGCAGACTGTGTGCACAGTTACCCCCCCCCCCCCACACACACACACACACCCACACCCACACCCTCTCTCTCTGATCTGCCTTCCTGTCTCACAGGCAGTGCAGTGGCTTTGAGAATCACGAGAGAGAGAGAGCGAGTCAGACGGGCTTGTTTTGCATACCGTAGGTCTCCTGCATTGACTTGTAGCAAATCCCTGCCCTCGGGAGACATGTCAGAGGGGATTAATGGGAGGGCCGGGCCCCCCCCCCCCCATTGTCGCAGCCCCGGTCCCGCACTGTATTTCCACCCCGCAGAGTGATGCTGGTGGAGGGAGAATTGAGCAGCGGTGTTATTTCCCTCTGCCCTGATTCTTTTGAGCTGAGCTGAAAGGGGGGGGGGGGGGGGGCTGAGGGTGTAAATAATGTATTTGGAGCTGCAGGGTACAGGGAGCTGGGGCTTGACCGAGCTCAGTGCAGGGAAGTGAACGGTTGAGCGGCCATGCTGCTGCACAGGAAGCTGGATGCTGGAGGGGTGTGTGTGTGGGGGGGGGGGGCATAGGAAGAACTGTATGAGCTACAGCAACCGTGCCGCGGTGCTCTGGGGAATGTGAGGCCACCGCAAGGATGAAGCAATCCTCCACTTCCGCTTAGTGCTCCGAGTGCAACCGAGATAAATAGTTTGCTGCAGCAGACTCCCATTAAGAATGTAATGCTAATACATGTGGAAATGGGAAATGTGGTTTCACAACAGGCCCGGGGCGGGGTGGGATTCAAACGGCATGTGAGTAGGAGCGAGGCTGCAGGACAAGACAATAGTCTGATTCATCTCAGTTTGTTTCCACATAGACAGTTAGCCTTGCTTAACATGGAGATGGAAAACATGAAGACACTGTTTGATGGTAACAAGATCCACCTCCAGCACCTCTAGACGTGTGTTCCTACAGAACGCAAAGCCAATCTTCAGCTGGCGACCTTTTATTGCAGATTTTACAGCTGTGTCATTTTCATTTATTCGCCCCAAAAAGCAAACGTAAAGACTTCAAGACTCAGTATTGTGCTGCTTTAGGCCCGTTTGCCTCTAAATGTCTCTTGACATTAACTGTGTGCAATCTTAAAACACGTTGAACAGTGTTGAAATGGCGTTTTGTACGCGTTGCTGTTCCCACATCCGGAGAGTGTTGCTAGGCTAACGTTGCTCCTTTGGGGCAGAGCCTGGCTGGCTGTTTCAGGTCTTTCTGCTATGCTAAGCTAACTGCTGCTCTCCGGAGCTATTCTTTTTCCAATACGTCGTACTTTTCACCTCTGAGTGTGATGAAACTGTTCACTCGCACTATCAGTCCTTGATGTCTCTCCTTATGCCCCCGTGTCATCCTCTTCTCAATCCCCCCCCTGGCGCTCCCTTTGCTTTTTCTTCTTTTTTTACCTACACCTGCTGGGCTCTATGCTTCATCTTGAAG